CCCCCCAGCAGACCAGGGAGACGCGGAGCAGCTTTACTCGCCCCGGAGGATGGGGGCGGCGGGACTGCAGTGCATCTGGGCGTCCCGCCGCTCCAGTCCTCCGGGGCGAGAAAAGCCCCGTTCGTAACTGCGGATCCGACATAAGTCGGGTCCGCGTAACTCAGGGACTGCCTGTATCCTCAAATGCACACAGACCTACACTGCAATGTATGCAACTCTCTTTCATCACCAACACAAATAAACAGAAGCCTATGAAACAACACACTCTACACTCTTCACACCAGAAACTTGAGTAGCAAAGCCATTTTGACTTTATGAATTACACCCATGCCACAGCATGGGTTTTCAGCTACTATTTGGGTACTAAGAACAATTCTCACATTCCTTAGATCAGGAATGGGCAAAATACGGCCTGCGGGCCAGATCCGGTCTGACAGGATGCCAGATCTGGCACCTGGCTCAGTGGGACTGCTGAGCAGGCTCCCTGCCATTCCTGACACCACACACTGCTCAAAGTGGCTGGCTGTGGGAGCCATGTACTTCTCTGAGTGCCATAAGCTGGGATTGAGGGGTGGAAAGAGGCATTGTGAACTGCCTCCTGCCCCAGCACAATCTCACAGCTTCCTGGGACATGTTTGCGGCAGAGATAGTGCACAAAGTACTCCCCTTCCCCTCCCCCCACCCACACACCTGGAGCTAATGGCACTCAGAGAAGCTTCTGGTCCCTGTAGCTGGCTGCTTTGAGTGGCGTGTGGGAATGCGGAAGGCAGGAAGACTGTTTGAGGGATCTGCTGAGCTTCTGGCCAAGAGCAGCTTAGGTAAGGGCCTCCCAGACACAGTATGTACTAGTCATCCCACCTTCTCCTTTCCTCTGATCCCTGCCTCCTGTACCATTGTCCAAGGTCACAACCCAAAATCTCTTAATTCCTGCTCCTTCACCCATACCTCCTCCCAGACCCTGCACCTAATTCCCTGCGTCAGGTCACAACTCAAACCCCCGCATCCCTACCCCATGTCACGACCCTCTCCTACAACCTGCATCCCCCTCATACACTCCTCCTCCAGGTCAGACTCCTTTCCAAAACTCAACCCCCTTCCTAGACCCTACACCCTAATCTCCTGCCCTAGGTCACAGCCCAAACTCCTGCAGACCCTCCTCCACTAGGTCAGAACCCCCTCACAGATCCTGTACCCCCTCCTATGCACTTCCTTCAAATCAGAATCCTCTCTTGCTTTCATGCCTGTATCCCTTGCTGGACCTTGCTTCTCCTCCTGCATCCCAATCCCTTACACCAAATTCCCTTCTACACCCAACCTTCATCCCAGACCCTGCACCCCCTTCATTAATATCATGGAGGAGTGTGGCTCTTTACCATTTACCAATTTTTTGGAGTAGCTTCCATCAAAAACTGTTGCCCACCTGTGCCTAAGATGATTAAAGAAACCTGAGAACTTGGGAATGTAAGAATAAGTGGACTCTGCATGCCTACTTCCTACCTGATGCAGATGAAAAGCCAGCAAGTGAGTTGGGATGAAGAATTTGGGGGTCCCTTAGTTATACTTGCCAACTCAGTGGCTAGAGCACCTAACCCCAAAGAGGGGTTCTAAAATTTGTTGCTTATTTAGATCTGAAGAAAATTACAACTCCAGGAACAAAGAAAAGCTTGGAGGGCATAGTGATTCAGAGTTTACATGCCATCCCTTGTCCAAAGTTTTGCCCAAAGTCACAATCTAGCCCAAAATAAAATTGTTTTAGAAAGAAAAAAAAGACTTTTCACAGATGAAATCTGCAATAAGTACAGTGTGTGGCCATTATTTACACAGATAACAAACCCTGCCTCAAGTGGTATGCACCAGTAAAGGATCTAGACAGGAGACTAACCAGAGCCTCAGTTCTATACTCATCAGATTTGTAAACACTGTGACAAGTTCTTAATGTGCAACTTACTGAGAAATAACTTCTAATTTTTGCAGTGTTTCATCACTTTATGCTGTGTGAGGCTGCACAGTAAGCCTCTCTTTAAGAAGAATGTGGTCTATTCACACAAGATAATTGTACTTTGATAATTAACAATTAGAAGTCATAAGAGAAGGGAGAATGGCTAACGTTACAAAGAGGGAAATTCAAGGTGTATGTAATGTCCTTAATAAAATAACTTGAAAATCACATTTCTATCTGAAAATGCTGCACCAATTATTATTACAAGTAGACTTTAAGATTGTTGTACATTAAATAAACTAGAGCCAACATATTTCCTTTTTCAGATTGTTAATTTTGTATTTTTTATTATTAAAGATCAATCTGGCAAACATGAATATAAGTAATTTCACATATATTAGGCATCTAATTGGTATCAGCTGAAATATTTGTATGAGTAAAGCTATTTAAATATATAAGTATTTGCTGGACTGAGTTTAAATAACATCATATTTATACTGATAATTTCTTACCCAGGTCCTTCAGAAGTTTCTACAATGTTCTCCTTCTGGGCATTTAGAAGTACTTGTGATACTTTATATTGAGACTCCAAAAGTATAAGTGTATCTAGATCACAGCACAGCACACTTAACAGCCTGTATAAGGACACAAACATTGAAATTACAGCATGATTTAGGAATCTATAAATACAGACTAAGGCAGACCAGGATAAGCATATAAGATTTCAAAGTTTAAAAAAATGATTTAAAATATACGTGTTAGATTTACAATTTTGCATAATGGCTTTCAGTACTCCCGCTATAAAAACTGTTACAGCATCTATGTTTTTAAAAATCTAGAAATAACTAGGAGACAAAGCATCCCATTATATCCCTTTAATAATTAGTCTGTTTTCTCAGGGTCATATCACTAGTCACTAAGGATGTTAAGGACTAGTCACTATCCAATGAGTAAATGCTTATCAGATAGTTGAGTTGACTGATCGCTTCCCTCCCGCCCTTGCTGCCTCTATCAGATAGAGGCAGCAAAGGGGGAGAAAGAGGGAATACTTCAAAGTGGCAGTGCCGCACGGAGCCTGGGGTACACCGCCGCAGCATTTCAAAGCGGCAGTGCCACGCGGAGCTGACTCTGGGCTCCATGCTGTGCTGCCCATTTGAAACGCTGCCACAGTGTTTCAAAGTGGCAGTGCCGCATGGAGCTCATGTGAGCACTGGTGCTTTGAAATGCGCAAGAGCCCCTTTTGGGGACTCTTGTACATTTCAAAGCTGGCACGCCGCATGCAGCCTAGTGCCAGACGGAAGTCCCCTGGGCTCTTGTGCATTTCAAAGTGGAAGAGCCCACGTGGAGCTTCCCGTGGGCTCTGAGCTGCATGCAGAGTTCTAATTTTGAAATGCAGAAGTGCCTGTTGACTAGTTGAGTAGTCAGTGGAAATTCTATCGACTTCTTGACTAGTAAATTAATCGATATTTAACATCCTTACTAGATACTAGCTCCCTACAGATTTAAAATTTATATTAAACTGGAAAAAACATTAACAAACATATGCTGGTCAGCTTGGTCTGCTGACTGTACCTCACCAAAACAAAGATGATGTGGAATTAATAAGACAATCAATGTACTGAAGTGTCAACACTGTCTAAGCTAGTGAAGTAACGGCTAATTAAGTTCCATTGAAAAAGATTCAAGATAAAAATCCCAATTTATATTTTTTTACTGTACGTACTGTTCAGTCAAATTTTATGCAAAGATCAAAGACAACAAAAGATTCTGCATGCAATTAAAACAATGAATCCATTTTTTTATATCAGAACATTTTGGAAGGTAAAAGTAATAACCTCCAGAACACATAGCAGCAAGCCAAGCACAATTTTCTTGTACATCATCGGGCAAAGTTAATAATGTTAATGTTGTCTTTCTAGCTTGACATTATCTGATGCACAATCTGAGGTATCATCAAGAAATTGTAATGTTTTCTATATTTTTGCCTAGAAATGAGGTTACTGTAACACACTGGTCACCAACGAGTGGATCGGGATCTACCGGTAGATCTTGGAGCCTCTGACAGGTGATCCTGACTGATTTGGCTGAGAAGCAATCAAGTGCTGGCACTTCAGTTGCCCCTCCACACACTATCCTGCTGCTTCTACTTTCTGCCTTGCAGCTGCCCTCCGGGAGACTCCTGCTTGCTGTGCAGGGTGCACTGATGTCAGGGTGTCCCTCCTCCCCCCACTTGTGTACCCTATCTCCACACAGAGAAAAGGGGATGGAGGGAGCTTAGCAATAAAAATCTCTGTCACTCTCACACACTGGGGTTGTGTCTAGACTGCATCCCTTTTTCGTAAAAGGGATGCAAATTAGACATATCACAATTGCAAATGAAGCGGGGATTTAAATCCCCCCCGCTTCATTAGCATAAAAATGGCTGCCGCTTTTTTCCAGCTCAGAGCTTTGCTGGATAAAATCCCTCATTTTAAGAGGGATAAGGGATCTTTCGGAAAAGGCTTTATTTTACGAAAGATCTGCATCTAGACTGGCGCTTTTTTCCGGCAAAGCTCAAGCCAGAAAAAAGCAGCAGCCATTTTTATGCTAATGAAGCGGGGGGGATTTAAATCCCCGCTTCATTTGCAATTGTGGGTATGTCTGAAAGAAGCCTGCAGTCTAGACATAGCCTGAGCGTGTCTGTCATTCTCACAAACACACACTGTCCTTCACTCTCATTTCAAGGAGGGCAAAGGTATTTGGGTTTGAGGTAGATCTTACATTGCACTTAAATTGAAAACGTGATCTCGTAGTTAAAAGGGTTGAAGACCACTTCTAAAACATCACATGAAAAAGTGGAAAAATTGCCCTATTTATGGAAAAACAATATATCACTAACATTCTTGCTGCTACTTCCATTCTCTTTTATTGCAGAAATAAAATACATCATGATTTACATCTGATTAGCTTTTCATTTTGCATTCACAAAATATTAACTGTAAACTAGGGAATACATATTATCTGACATTTGTACTTGTTAGTCAGTGTTCTCAGTATGTTTCTATTGAAAACAGAAAACATTCAAGAGCTATATTCATGATAATTTAATACTTGCATATCCAAGTGATTATAACAAAGAAATACAGAACCAAAATGATGATTTTAACTCAGATCTACTCAGTATACATCTTATTTTAATTGTATTTCCATTTATTTTCTATTAACTGATGCCTATCTGCAAGATCATAGTTTCATTCTTAGCACTTCTCTAAAGCAGAAAAGCAGCAGCAAAGCTGGAGTAAAATATTTCATGTGTTTAAAATAACCAAGATAGAAAAAGAACACTTCAGTTATTATACAAATGCCAGATTTTGATTCAGAATGGATGGTAGTATTCACCAGCTACCATCAACATATATAACTGAGATTTCCAATACAGGAAAATCTACCAGGAGAACAGCAGTCCTAACTGGTCTCTGGTTGGCAGGAGATCTAACTAACCTAACAGGTCTCTGGTTGGCAGGAGAGAGTAACAATCCCCAAAGTGGGGCTGCGCATACACATGTCTGCAGCTGTGCACTCTTAGGTTACCAGCACTGCGCATGCATGAGCTCTCCCCGTTCCTCAGTTCTTACTCTACCCCAAATGATGGCATGAGAAGGCCAGAATCCCGAAGTAGAAGAGAGGGAACACCAACGGGGACATTCATCTTGAAGAACATCAGTTACTATCGAGATGAACAACCTCCTCTTCGATGGAGAGATGTCCCCACGGGTGCTCTACATTAGATGACTACAAAGCTATTTCTGGTAAGAGAGGTAGAGACTTTGGATCTGGCAGAAAAGCAGTAGAAAGAACTGCCTTAGCTTGTTTCAGGTTGGAGAAAAATCCCCGTATAAGGTCATAGTCCTTTGCAAACATGTGGTTGGAGGACCGTGTAAGCAGTTGCGCAAATGTCTCTTATGGGTGTGTCAAACAGATCTGTGATGGGGTAACCCCACTATTGGAAGATGCCTGGCAATATGTGCGGATTCATTTGCCACTTGAGTTTGGTCAGGAGGGCTCTGCTGAGTGTGTCTGTCATTGTGTTCAGGGTGTCCAGAAGGTGCACTGCAGTAATATTTATGTTGTATTTCAGGTACCAGTTCTAAAGTGCTATGGCCTCTGTGCAAAGTGCTCGAGATCAGGCTCCGCCCTGACAATTTATTTAAAACATCGTTACGACATTGTCTATTTACAGTCTGACATGACTGTTGGCGATGAACAGGAGGAATTTGGTGCATGCATTCCTGAGTGCTTGGAGTTCCAGGATGTTTATACATAGGTTCTTGTCGCTGCTGGACCACAGACTCTGGCATGTGTGATGTCATAGGTGGGCGCTCCATCCTATACGAGACACATCTGTCAGCATGGAGATGGACGGTTCTGGTGGGTGGAAGAGGACGCTGGAACAAAGGTTCTGTGGACTTAACCACCAGTGTAAGGATTTCTTTACTATCATTGGGAGGACTAGGGATTTGGATAGTGGGTGGACATTGGGTCTGTAAACCTGTCCGAGCCAGCCCTGTAAGCATCTCATGTGAAGGCGAGCATTGTTGTCAATGAAATGGCATGCTGCCATGAACAGCTAAAGGCATTTGAGTGCCATTGCACAGGGGCTGGATAGTAAGGTGTTTACCGAGGACACAATTTTTTGGAAACAGTCCATAGGGAGGGATGTGGTAGCCCTTGCTGAGTCATGCTCCTATAAATTCTATCTTTTGTGTAGTTGATTTGGTTTCATTCACTTGCAGGCTGAGTTGTCGGAATAGGTGTCTTGTGATTGACAGTGAAAAGCAGGAATTGTCGTGTGAGCGTGCCTTGAGGAGGCAGTTGTCCAGGTAAGGAAATATAATAACGCTTTGTTTTCTCAGATATGCTATGACAACTGCCAGAACCTCTGAAAAGACCCTCAGGGCTGTTGAGAGTCCGAATGGAAGCATCCTGTATTTGTAATGTTGCGAATCTACACTGAAACGAAGAAAACATCTATGAGCAGGGTAGATGGCAATGTGAAAATAGGCATCTTGCAAGTCAAGGGACGAGAATCAATTGTCCTGTTCCAACACCGATAATACAGTGGAAAGTGTTACCATCTTGATTTTTTGTTTCTGAATGAATTTATTGAAGGGCTGAAGGTCTAATATGGGTCTCCATCCTCCCAATCTTTTTTCCGTCAGGAAGTAATGGGAGCAGTACCCTTTGAACTTAAATTGTGTGAGGATTGATTCAATTGCACCCAATGTGCAAAAGGTGCTCTTCCTCTTGTTGAAGTAGAATCTCATGAGAGTGGTCCCTAAAGAGGGACCGGGAAGGAGGGTGGGAAAGGAATAGAGACACAAAGGGGATAAGATAGCCTCTCTCAATTATCTGAAGGACCCATCTGTCAGAGGATATACGTTGCCAGTTGTTAAAGAAGAGGAATATTTCACTCTGTGTCGTTTCCAGCCATGTTGGTGCCTTTGATAATATTGCCATTTGTCCCAGTATTGCCAGTGAAGGTATGGCATCGGTGGGGGTACCCAAGCATTGCCATAATATGAAAGCATATTCCCAATTTCTTGCTGAGATCTGGAAGAGTAAATAGTCTCATCTGTGTAAGGAAAACTGCCTGGGGAAAAAAACCTAGAAAATTCATCTTCAGATTCGGATGAAAATCTTCCCTGGCAAAGTGATCTCTGTGATGTTAACATAGCAGGAAAATAATCAGGATCTAAAAATGGTGAGTTAAAAATAGATGAGACTAACAAGTCTCTATGCTGAGTGTAGTGCACAGCTGGTGTCGTCAGTGCCGTAAAGGGAGGCAAAGACACTACTGAGGCATTGAATCATGCCTTGGTGCCGAGTAGACCAGCCACCACGTTAGACGTCTCTGTGGTGGAGGCAGAGGCACTTGTTGATATGGTCGACACCGCGCTCTTATGCAGCGCTGGTGAGATTATATCCGTGCTGGATGCTGCTACAGCTGATGAGGCAGGCAACTTGAAGCCTGACATCTCAGAGTATGGTTTAGCACATGTCTGTTTGTTAGCTGCACTGGTGGCTCCCAAGATGCCTAGAATGTTATACGTACTGAGATGCGATGCAGCCATCGTTCTTGGCACCGGCCAGGAGGGAAACAGCTGTTTCGGTACTATAGCCCCATGAGGTAGAGGAGGTTTTCTTTTTGGTGGGCTTTTTGGTTATGTTTATGTTCCTCAGCTGTTGGCCCAGGTCAGAAGCTGGTCTGAGAAAATTCTCACATAAAAATAGCTTGAGATGGAGGTCTCTGTCTTTTCATGCCCGCAATTTCAACTTTGCATAATGAGGGCATTTTTGAGACATCTGCTGCTCTCCAAGGCAGCGGATGCTTTGTGAATGCCCATCCGATATGGGTTAGGCACTTTACATGAGGAGCAGCGTTTAAAACCTGGTGTGCCAGGCATGATGTTGAAACCAGTCAATAACTGCAGGAAGGGGTAAACTGGGAGAAAAATTTATACTAGTCTAGTTTTCTTCTAAGCTAACTAACAACAATAGTAAACTGGGGAGAGAAAACTTGGTTTTGAATGGAGATAAGTATGTAGATGCAAAGAAACTAGGGAATTAAGGAGCACTTCTGATGTCCATCTGTAGCCAGAAGCAGTATAGAAGGAATTGAGGACAGGGGGAGGGAGGGTGGACTGCGCATGCGGGATGTCTGCCACCTAAGAGTGTGCAGCTCCAGATGCATGCATGTGCAGCCCCAGGCACACTGCTCTGAAATCTCTGATCTAAGGCTCAGTGGGCAGAGCACCGACCTAATATGGAGCACCCACAAGGACATCTCTAAAAGAAGAACTCGACAACTTCCCAACTCTCAGAAGTTTCCACCTACTTTCTGTCATTTTCATAATCCAATGCGAAATTTTCATTTATGCTTTAAATTCTTCCGTAAAGTTTCAAACCCATCTAATCTACTGAAAGAAGTGTTTGTAAAATGGTTTTAAATGTCATTAGTGTGTTACCCATGTGCATAACATACAAGCTTGTTAAACACATTTTTAAAAGCATTCAGAATCAGGTTGGAATCTCTGTTCTTGTGTAACTGTCAATCTAAAACAAGTCAAGGAATCAGATATCTACACACTCAAACAGATTAGCTGAAAGTTTTACTTTTGTGTATAAAACATGCATTGGCGTTCATGATATTTATGATTCAGTGAGGACCCCCTTTTTTTTTTGCCGTGTTGACAGAGTCTTAAAAACTGCAATATAAACATGCAGATAAAACATATAGTTCCTTTTCAGAAAAGCCTGCCCAACTAAGCTTGGCTCAACTAAAATCAAAGAGAATTTGGCCATTGTCTTCAGTGGTGCTGGGATTTCACAGTGTGTGCCTAAGTAAAAACTAGCTTTTCAAATCCTATTTTATGAAAATCTGACTCCCAATGTCATGGTACAAGACTATACTTCTCATATCTCAGTACATCTCCTACTTGTCCTGAAATATGAAAAGTATTACCTAGATTATCTGATGTAATCAGCAGTACATAATTGACTTCTATTTTCATGTACAATACAAATCAATTTACTGTGATATTTTGGTATAAGCAAGGTTATAGAAAACTAACTTTGAACTTTATAAACCACTGGGACAATTATTCTACCCAAACAGATTTTTTTTTCACAGTAGGGATCACATCTTAGTAGGGATACCCTTTAGCTTATGCACACAAATATATCAACTAATCAAGCTATTTATTCTTCAGGCTAGGATAGATAGATAGATAGATAGATAGATAGATAGATAGATAGATAGATAGATAGATAGATAGATAGATAGATAGATAGATAGATCTATTTTTACATACTTGGAAATCACACAGATACTATATTTATGAGCGGCACATTCAGTAGACACATTTAAAAGTACATTCAAGTTCTAGAGATATTTTTGATTCAAGTGGTACCTGATTTTTTAGCACAGGGAGTATTGCAGAAACTGGTAATATAATTAAAACAGAATGAACTTCAGAAATGCATTCACTGTAGAAAAATCAGACATAGAAAGCTGCACATGGTAATGTAAAAGTCTCAACTTATTTCAGTATTTAAGCAGGAAGTTTGTTTCACAAGTCATGATGGATATACTACATTTGCTTTTTAACCATCCATGCTAATTAACTAAATGCAACAGCTTTTAATGCATCAGATATAGGGATATTAACTAAATATTGGCTTTGCTGACTTTGTAATTTTGTATATTATATTTTTCATTCAAACTCTGCATGTTTTAAAAAAACTAACTGAATTTCACTTTCACGCACAATAAGAAGCAATAATACAAGTATATCGGAACAACAGAAAATTGCTTTACTGTATTAAGTCATTTTGAACACAGTGGAGCTTACCTCAGACCAAAGATGTGAGATTGTTCATAATTGAATAAAGAGTGAATTTTAGCTTCTGAATTCAAAATTATAAGTCTGTCAATTACATCCTGCAAAAAGAAGATATCAATATAAAATTCTCACTCATCTTCTTATATTAAAAATAGTTGGAAAACACAGCATTATTATTTATTCAAAATGTTTAAAAAAAACCCTAAATTTTGTAACAAAGCTTTTATATTTAATGTTTTTGCTCCCATTGAAGTCAATGGTGCAGAACAAGGCCAATATAAAAAGCCAGAAACACATAACTCAGTTAAATGTGTCACGATAGTGAAATATTAAAAATTTTAAATTACTATTGTATGTGAATATAGGAGTAAAATGGTAAAGTGTTTTTTAGTGTTTTTGAAATATGTACCGTTCTTTTCATTTTATTTAGTATCTAGCTAATGTGACAAAATTTCAGGCATTAAAATAATATGTACAGGCAGTCCCCGGGTTACATACAAGATAGGGACTGTAGGTTTGTTCTTAAGTTGAATCTGTATGTAAGTTGGAACTGGCATCCAGATTCAGCCGCTGCTGGTCAGTTTCAGCAGCGGCTGAATCAGGACGCCTGGGGCAGAGCAGCTGGGGGGCTGCTGGGTTGGACCAGTAGCGCCCAGAGCGGCGCTGCGGGACCAACCGGCAGCCCCCCAGCTGCTCTGCCCCAGGCGTCCGGAGAAAAGCCTAGTCTGCTGGGGGAGGGGGGGGGCGTACTAGCTGCGCCCCCCCCCCACCCCAGCAGACCAGGAAGACACGGGCGGCGGACCGAGACGCACCACGGTCCCACCGCCTGGGTCCCCCGTGGCTTTGCTCCCCGTCTCCCTGGTCTGCTGGAGACCAGCAGACCAGGGAGATGGGGAGCAAAGCCTCTGAGGACGCCGGCAGCGGGACAGCCGCCGGGCGTCTGGGCTGTCCCACTGCTGGCTTCCCCCGCGGCTTTGCAAAGCCTCGGGGAAGCCGGCAGCGGAGCAGTCCAGGCGCGCCTGGCCTGCCTCGCTGCCCGAGCCCCCCCGCAGCTTTGCAAAGCCAAGGGGAAGCCGGCAGTGGAGCAGTCCAGGCGCGCCTGGCCTGCCTCGCTGCCCGAGCCCCCCCGCAGCTTTGCAAAGCCAAGGGGAAGCCGGCAGTGGAGCAGTCCAGGCGCGCCTGGCCTGCCTCGCTGCCCGAGCCCCCCCGCAGCTTTGCAAAGCCAAGGGGAAGCCGGCAGTGGAGCAGTCCAGGCGCGCCTGGCCTGCCTCGCTGCCCGAGCCCCCCCGCAGCTTTGCAAAGCCAAGGGGAAGCCGGCAGTGGAGCAGTCCAGGCGCGCCTGGCCTGCCTCGCTGCCCGAGCCCCCCCGCAGCTTTGCAAAGCCAAGGGGAAGCCGGCAGTGGAGCAGTCCAGGCGCGCCTGGCCTGCCTCGCTGCCCGAGCCCCCCCGCAGCTTTGCAAAGCCAAGGGGAAGCCGGCAGTGGAGCAGTCCAGGCGCGCCTGGCCTGCCTCGCTGCCCGAGCCCCCCCGCAGCTTTGCAAAGCCAAGGGGAAGCCGGCAGTGGAGCAGTCCAGGCGCGCCTGGCCTGCCTCGCTGCCCGAGCCCCCCCGCAGCTTTGCAAAGCCAAGGGGAAGCCGGCAGTGGAGCTGCCCCTTTAAAATGGTGCCGCCCCTTTAAAATGCCTAAGCCCCATGGAGCTGGGGGTCAGCTCGGTTGTCCCCAGCTAACCCCGGGTTCAGAGCGGCATTTCCCCAGAACCCGGGGTCAGCTGGGGAGCCACGGGCTCAGCTGTGCAGCGCTGCCCCTTTGAAATGCTGCCTCCACTGATCCCAGGCTAGGGGCTGCCTCCACTGAGCCCATGACTAGGAGCCATGGAGAGCCACTTGGGTGGAAAAGGCTTGACAAATTCTGAGAGGGGAGCGACCAAATCCCTTGTGGTCATAAAAGATTCAGCAATTTGGGGATCCCAAGACACCAAATTATTCATAAAGGATGGGTTCACCTATAAAACTTTGAAAATCATCTGTTTTACTGTCCTTGATTATATTAGCCAAGAGATTTCTGGGAACCTGATTGGGTTTGGTCAGGGGGAGGCAGCCAAGCTAATTGCCTGTTGCCTCCTTGTGGCAGATGTCCAGTGCAGGTACTCCAGAGAAAAGCTATATAGTGGCTAGATAAATGGCTTGGAAAAGGACTTAAAGAGAGGTGTGCATAAAAGGAACAAAGGGGGTAATTGGAGACTCATGTGAATAGTACAGAAGTGAGCCAACTTTCCATTCTTATGGCCCACCTTCACCCTCCTATAAGGTGAATTTTAAGGTCCCAGCAACAGATTTGTCAGAGAAGCCTAAGAGAGAGAGCTGGCAATATCCTCCCCTGAACACACTGAGTATGGTAAGATCCCAACAGTACATTTGCTGGAGGGACTTGGATGGAAAAAGGAGCAATTGATGGGAGCCTCCCCCCACCATCACCAACTCTCCGCCCCACCCCCCAGGTATGGGAAGGTCTGGCAAACAAATTTGCTAGAGGGTTGGATGGAAAAAGAGGGGGAGCTGGTAAAAACCCTATCAGTAATTATAAAATAAACATGTGGTTGCCTCATTGTATACTTCTATATGCTGGCTAGTCTCAGACATATAATAATAAAATTACAGCCTGATTAAACCCATATCAAATATATCTTGGGTTTTTTTTTTTTTGATATAGCCAGACAACAACTGCCTCTTCTGCCCTCTCTATGTTTTAGCAAGGAGTCAAGGATGGAGCACTGCAGAGAGATACAAGGGTTCTAAAGAGTGACAGGCAGACATCTAAGCTATGGATGGGTATTATGAGGGAATAATAATTTGAAGGAAATGGAAAAGATGTGAAGTCGTACAGGGGCCAAAAGAAGATTCTAGGTTGTGGAGAAACATGGGCATATACGAGTGGAGAGAGCATAATTTGGAGAATATTTATGAATTTTTACTACTATCCATGTGAGCAACTATCAACACTGAAATAATATGTCTTTACAAGTCTAGGAAATTCCTCCAGAGAAAAAGGTTTATTAAAAAATAAGTTAAAGGTGCTCCAGACCAGTATTTCTCAACCTTTTTTTAATAAAGTATCCCTTTTTTTTAAAAAAAATACGTACCCACAGTACCTATAGTTTTCAGACACACAATTTTTTTTTCCACCATTAAACAACTTAACCAGAGCCGGGTGGGCAATGGAATTTTTGGGTGTAAAAAGTATAAAAATAATAGAGTTATAAAACTTAAAACAAAAATTCAGTTTTCTCCAAATTTCAGTTGTGTTGATGTACCCCCCAGACTTCTCTCGAGTACCCCTAAGGGTACTTGTACCACTGGTTAAGAAACACTGCTCCAGACTATATTCCACCAACCCAGATTTATAAAACTAGGAAATCACTACTTAAGTTTCACCTGATCCATAGTAAGTGTGTTAGATTAGCAGGTTATAGACTAGTCGAGTAACCGCATGAATTCTTTCATTTAATTGACTATTCTATAGTCCCCAAAGGTGGGGCCAGCAGCCAGTGTGCTCCACCTCCACTCCCTCAGAGCCCCATGCCATCACGCTCTGCTGCCTCTGTATCAGAGGCAGCAGCAAGGGGCGCCAGGCGGGAGCCAATTTAAAAACCAGCTCCCCTCGCAGACTGGCTGCCTGCCACCCCACACTGCTGCCTCTGTTACAGCCTCTGTCCATGGGGAGCTCGGACACCCACACAGATGGGCTGCTGCTTGGGTCCATGCTTGCTGCAGACAGAAGTTACTTCACAGCAATCTCTCCTATCCCCACTTATAAAGGCAGCAGCGTGGGGGTTGGCAAGCGGGACCATGGAGCTGGCTTCCCCCAGCACTGGCTCCTGCTTCTTCAACCTTTGTTGCCTCTGATACAGAGACAGCAAGGGAGGGGAGGAATGCGAGTAGTTGAGAAGATTAACTGATAAGCCTAGGCTTATCAGTTAATCATACTCTACTATTCATCTACATCCCTAATCCACAGACATTCAAATATGATTTTGCTTTCTTCATATTACATCACTTGTTTACACCGCTATCAACAAATGACTACTCCACTCCTATGCCTCACAAAACATTTAATTTTTACTCTGAATACAATTAACTATTGAAAACAAAAAATACCACCATACTGCCTCATTAATTATCTAAATAGTGTTAGAAGATTTTAAAGAGTAACTTCCAAACATGACAATTTCAAAAATTATTTTCTCTTTTTAAAATATTTCCTTCTACATGATTTTCATGCACAACTAAAAATCTACACCATAAAAATAACAAAATATTTTTTACAAAATTTGGTAGTGTAAATATAGCCATATTTATGTTGATGGTTTACAGACTTCAACAACTCTAATTTTTTGTTACATTACATATTTGTCACTACAATGGGTGTGCTTTTTGGAAAATAAAATGAAAATATATATGCTTCATTTAAACCATTGCTCTGGGGTGGAGCTAGAGATGAGGGGTTCAATATACAGGATGCCTCAGGGAGAGAGGACTATCCCAGCCTCATCACAGCAGCTTGGGACCTGATGAGAAACACCTCTCCATGGCCACTGAAGTTCTAACAAGCACAGCCAGTGCAGAAGTACATGTCCCCTGGCTGAGACAAGTCCAGGTTCATCTGCCTCCTGCACTCTCAAGCCAGAGGGAGGAATGCAGCAAACTCTTTACTTTCCCCTCATTCCCTGATAAATGGGAACAGCCAGCAGAGTCCCTATATGCAAGGCTCGACAGATAATGTAATCTATTCGCCCGTGGCAAGTAGATTACAAACGGAAGAGCCGGTGCAGAGCGATCTGCGTATGTGCAGAAGGCAGAACAGCGCGAAACTGCGCAGCTGGCGAGCGGGCCTCACCATTGCTTGGTGAGCCCTGCCTATATGAATCAGTGGGAGGAAAGAGGAGCTTCAGCCCACCAAGCCCCTCCTAATAGCCTGGGGGCCAGAAGGCTCAAAGCTGGGGCAGTCTTAGATGGGGGGAGGATTGCATACCCAGACAGCCCCTTTCACTTGCCTGATGATTCTGTCTCTTCTCTCTATGTTTTTCTGAGAAGCAATCCCATTCCAGGCCCATCCCATTTTCCTGGCACAACCAAAACCTTACCTTGCTTTAATTTATAAGAGGAAGATGTATTCCATATATTACCATTTAGGAGGCGTTCTTAAACAGACAAACTCTCTCAAACTTATAGTAGATTATGTATATGTATGCACAGGGCACACGGAACCACGGAGAGCCCCGCTTGCCAGCCGTGCTGTCCGGCGATCTGCACATGTGCAGATCGTTCTGCGCATGCACAGATCTCCTGAATCCGGCTCTTCCGGGTTACAATCTACTCACCACAGGCGAGTAGATTGTATTATTTGTCAAGCCCTGTGTATGTATGATACAGATATTTGCATACATATGCTCATGTGCACATACACAAACTTAGAAATGTTCATATATATTTCTCTTGTTCCTGAGAACAGATTTGTAATGTAAGTGAGGAGAGAAAGTAAGACCTTCAAAATTAGGTAAAGATTTCATATTATCCAATGTACTCTGTGCATATGCTGCCCTCATGCTGTACATAATAAAAAATGCAAAACCAAAACTCTATCACTGAACAGAAAATAGAGCATGCCTTTAATTATTAATCTACTACTTGTTCAGTCAAAATGTGTAACCACTCTGTAGTATTTTGAAAAAAAAAAGGCGAAGAAAACAAGTACTTACAATAACATTTGTAGGAACTTCACGGAGAGAATATTCTGGTTTATTTAGTAACTTCTGATTACCTATCAGCTCATAAATAGCAGGATAGGATAGCAAATTTACCAGCACTAGAAAAGACTTAAAAACAAAAAAAAGATTGATCCTGTGAACCTTTGTATATAAACATTTAATAGCATTTAACTGGCCCTTAATTAAAACAATATAAAGAAGTAAGGCCCATGTCTCGGCCTCACCCTACTGGGCAGTGTGAAGTTAAAACAGGAGACACATCTATGCGAGCATAAGGGTCATTCCCATGCACAAAGACTTTGTGAACTGATGGGCTGTCGCACTGACAAAGCGAATGGCCCAGTAAGAGTTGAGAATTCTTCCATGAAACAATGTTGATAAAATGCCTAATTTAGGACATTAATGAAACTACCTGTCTATGTATATACAGTAGTAACAAATTGAACAAAATAAGATAATTTCTCACCTTCTGACAGCTTCGGTCAATAGGATCTACTGGAGTAGAACTGGGATGAGTTACTCTAAGTTCATCTCTTCCACACTCCAGAACAGCCCATAATTCAGTTATAAGTGCTTTTATAAACCCTAAAATTTAATACCTGATTTAGTCACAAAAATGCTTAAAAAAAAACAAGTAAAATAAAACTGAAAATTCCATACTAGGTAGAACAAATCTTAAGAACAGATTACCTCAGTGACTATCCTCATTCTATCCATAATAATATGATCCACCTTTCTTCACACTGATGATTGAATAATATTATTGTCACCACTACAGCAACTTTTTACAAGGAAAAGTAACGTTAATGTAGAGAATATATTTTTGCATTTTTGTTTGTTCTGATATGAGTAAGTAAACTAGAAACAAAGAGGGCCCAGTATTTTGTCACAAGTTAGCGTTTACAGACCACAATTTGGGAACCGTAAGTTATGCAATACCACTGATCTAGAAACAGGATTTAAGATAAATTGTATGGAAACAACCTCCTTGCACTTGTATAATAAAGTAAATTAGATTTACATAAAGAGAAAGAATAGGGTTTTTTGTACAGCTGCCAATGCCAATCTACTACAATGTGCAGGGTCAGTTTTAGGGGCAGGTGATCCAGCTTTGGTGGCACTAGGCTCAGGGAGCTGTTTTTGTTGTTAGCAACAAAAGGGAAAACTGAATGTTTGGAATAAAATGTCTTAAGTATTCCATACATGGATTCATTTTTCACAAACTGCCTAGAATATTTTGGGCATTTGTAGAATCTTATGGAATCTTCCAGACATTCTGAGAGCTATATTTTCCTTGAACTCCCTAGAATGTTGTAAGCCGTGCCCTTGTGGGTATATAAGGAGTGAAGTATCACCAATCAGTAAATTAATTATAAGATTAAATGAGAGTCCCGTTGTGATATTGCAAATCTTGTTTTATTGTGTCTTTATAAAAGTACACTTGTGTTTTAAGAACTGAAGAATGTAAGAAGTGATTAATAAACAACGTATTTAATGAGATGCCAGAAATACCTATTAAACCCCTACTTATGCAACAATATAAAATGAATACTGTTATTACTTTTGCAACGCTTAACACATAATGTTTGATAATGTCCCAAGACTGCAGAACATAGGCTTTCCTTTTCCTAATACTGACTTTTTCCCCCACAGAAAATAAAAGATGTTCCCAAAGAAGTCTTCAAGACAGTATTGGAAGTGAAAAGTGCAACTGCAATCTGGTAAGCAGCAATGGATGAATTTGATGGAAAAATATCTTGAACAGAACAACACTGACCAGACTTCAAGCAATAGCAATGGTCCCAATGCAAAAGAAATTGAGAAGTGAAGTTTAAATGATGGAAGTCTTCTTACTAAGGAATTAGCAGATTTACCTGAAGGTAAGAAATGGAAATGTGAGAAAAATGATGGGGAATCATTCTGTTTTCCTAGAGGGATAAAGGAGAGTGATGATAAAAAAAATCTAGTTTACATGAAAAGGAGAGAAAAGATGAAGAAGAATCAGCCTTGTATGATGAAATGAGAAAAAATGCACATTGCAAATCAATACATCAGATCCTGTTTTAAAGCCAGTAATCCTAACTTCTGCTGATATTGATCATAGAATTTTGGACAAGAGTGTGATGTTTTCAATAAATGAGCAGAAGTAACACTTCTCAAAGTTACACTGCAAAAGAGTGCTTGAGAATGGCGATACTGAATCAGCATTGGTATTGGCTAGTGTACTCTAACTGACCAAATGTTCTGTTTCTGTTGCAAAACAAAAAAAAATTTACAAGAATGCAAAATCATTGCTTGCACTTTTTGAGTGTAATTACTGGTATAATTTAGCTGATATCATGAAGCAACATGAAAACTCACCCAGACATTTTATGGCCTATCCTAGATGGAGAAGGGTCAAGTCTTAAGCAAAATAAATACATGACTGTGAAAAACCAGCACTGGAGGGATATGTAGAAACCCAGCACTGCTAATGTAGAAACCCAGCACTGGAGGGATATGTTCCAGCATCTGATCTCAATTACCCTCTTTCTTGAAAAGAATAATTTGGCTTTCTAGGGCTCATAGTATAAGTTGTTCACTGAACAGAATGGCAATGTCCTCAGTATGGTAACATATTGATGTGGTTCAGCAAACCAAAATACTACACCACAATAATGGACTGCACTCTCGACATTAGTCACAGTGAAAATATGTCATCTGTTGACAACAAGGTACATAGCTGTACCAAAATAAAGGAAAATTATATCCTGTTTCATTTTGTGATGATTCTACTGGAAAATGCCAACAGAACAGTTTATTAACATTCTAAACATACATAAAACTTCAGGATTGCTGTGGACAAGGCTACAACAATGGCATAAAAATGAAGGGACGAAACAGTGACATCCAGGAAAGAATACTTGTATTGTATCCAAAAGTTTTCTTCATGGCTTATAGCTGCCATTCCTTCAACCTGATTGTGGCAGACGAGGCAGCATCTTCTTTAGATTCAAGATCTTTCTTTGGAGTACTGCATCTTGTTTTCAGAATCAACTATTAGATAACAGATCCTCACAGACAATGTTACAAAATTGACCATGAAGCTACTATATAACATTCACAAGGAGAGCCACACTGACAGCCTAAGACCAGTAATGTACCAAGTGGCTGAGATTTGCTATGTTCTAATGGAACTGGGGCATTCAAATAAAGTGAAAGCCGGAATCTGACACAAAGTGCAAAGCTTGGCAAATCAGATCACTGATTTCAAATGTTTGTTTTCATTTGTGGGTTGGCAATATTATACAATGTTATAAGCAAGGGTATCAACTGACATTGTGGTCCATCACAACAACTTATTGCTTTAATGAGAAATTGCCTTGATTTCATTATGGAATACAGAGATCAAGTAAATGGCAGAAAATTAGGTGTTCCTGTTTTCATACAGATATATATTCATCAGAACGAGAGATGTGTTTGTTATGAAGGCAGAGAGTAGGTGAAAGGAAACTCAGAAGCATTCAAGAGGGAGATTTTCTGATTATTCACCGACACTTCTAGTGTTTCAATAGAAGAAATGTTTGGAGAAATGAAAAAGACCTGAGAATTTTTGTATGCCCTTGGTAAGCTACGGGTGGACAGGAAAATAATCTTAAAAAATTGTACAGACCTTCACAAGACACTGATACGTGGGAAATGTTCAGATATTAACATGAAAGACTTCTGTGCTGAGATGGACAAAATCTGTCACATTCAGCAACATAGGCATTCTCCACTCCAAGCTCTCCAAAAGTGAGGAAAGTGATTTTTTTTTTAACTAAATGATTAGGGTTAACATTCTAAAGCTGTCATTTGTTATAATACTATTTAATACTGTTCCAAACAGTGTTGGTGCACAGTTAGGGATGTTACTCACAGTAGCTGGTGTTCTTACTGCCAACCAGGCTGCCGTGGCTCTGTCCCTACTGTCGGGCTGGTGCACAGCCCCGATCGGGCTGCTGCAGCACAACCCCACTGCCAGCCCAGCATGCACAACCTGGCCCAGCCCCAGCTGGGTTCCTGAAGCCCCAGCTCCACTGCCCCAGCGCCAAACAGGCTTCCCCTGTGGGGCTGCCATGGCCAGGCTGCCACGTCTCTGTCCCCAGAGCTGGGCCTACATGCAGCTCCCATCAGGTTGCCACAGCACAATCCCACTGCCAGGTTAGCACACATGGGCTGCCTCAGCCCCAACTGGATTGTCGGGCTGACTCTGACCTGCGACCACAGCCATAGTACCGCCATCAGCCCCAGCTGGATTGCTGATGCCCAGCCCCACTTCCATCAGCCTGGCCTTGCCCAGGACTTTCAGATGCTGGCCCTCACATCCTGGGACTCTCTTGTTCAGCAACATCCATGGTCCTGCTAGATCACAGATGTTGTCGGACAAGACAGTCTTGGTTTAGGGAGATGCAATCTGTAGTATCTTTTGATGTTTAGACCTATCCATTTTCCCATACTTTTGGGAAGTGAGTGGGTCATGAAAATGGTGCATCAGTTAAAGAAGTTGGTATTTATTATGATTTGTTGATGAGTAAGAAAGGTTTGTGATTTTTATGACTGGTTCATTTTGTAACATTCATTAATGTATTCATGCATTTCGTTGAAAGGATAGGTAAATTTCTTTGAAAAAAAAAAGTTAAAAGAGGAACATTCTTTTAATATGCTATCTTAGCTTCCTCAGAGTATACAAGATCATATTCCTCCAACTGCAAAAACTTAAATGCATAAAGTATGTGACTGCACTTAAGAAAAAGTGTTTAAAAAAATAACTTTCCAGGCACAAAAAAATCAGCAGGCACCAAAGTAGTCATTGCTAATATTTCATATCTATCTTAATCACATCTGATTTTATCTTGTTTAGAATTATTTTATTTCAGCTCATGATAGTACAGTATATCTGTACCCAAGATAATGTTCACATTTAAAATTACCTGAATGCTGCAGAGCTACTGCCCCTGGAGATGTTGCTGCCATTTGTGTAACCATCACTCCATAACCAAACCTTTCACATCCACTCACCTATTCATAATAAATGTAACAGATAAAAGAAGTTTGGAGCATACCACCAAGATGTTCATAGTCTCAAATGTTCTCTTTATGTATTTTTACTTGCTCCCTGCAAAACTAAATTCTGTAAACAAATGTATCTAGACCTGTCAGGATCACATTACAACACAAGCATGTTTGTTTAGCAAGTAAAGGAATTTCTTCCTTTATGATTTCGAAGTATAAATAGCATAACATACAGCATGTGCAGCTTCTGCACAAAATAACAACTTTTTAATTCTGTAATCTCCCAAATCCTTTGCACCCACTGATTCAGAGGAGGGGACCACAAAACCTTTTAAATTTCTATATGATACCATGTTTTGCCTCCATAATTGAATGCATAATTCCCAATCAACCAGCAACTTCATACACCACAGCAGAAACACTAATTGCAGAACTTATCCCTGCAACAAATCTCACTGTCAAGTCTGCCCACTCATAACCTAGTGACACCATCACAGGACGTAATCACGCCATCAAAAAGCTCATTCACATGCACATCTACTAATGTAATATATGTCTTTATGTGCCAACAATTTCCCTCTGCCATGTACATCAGACAAACCAGACTCTCTCTATACAACAGAATAAATGGACACAAATTAGACGTTAGGAATGGCAACATGCAAAAACAAGTGGGGTAGCACTTTAACCTCCCTGGACACAGTTTTGGATTCTCAAATTGCCAATTTTAGCAAAAACCTTCAAAACCAGACTGCAACCATAACTGCTGAGCTATCATTCATATGCAAATTTAACACCTTGAAACAAGGTTTAAATAAACACATGGAATGGTTCTCACATTACTATAAGTAATTTCCCATCCAGGTACTTCCCTGTTCTAATCACTTCTGGTGATGAGCCACACCCAACTCTGATTTAATTAGCACTGATGTCATACTCCCATGTCTGTGTCCCTTCCTTTTTTCTTCTTTTCTCTTCAGCATCTGAGGAAATAAGTTGTAGCTCACAAAAGCTTATGGCCTAGTGCCCTTATACTTATATACTCATATACTTATACTATGAGCCATCAGGCTCCTTGTTGTTTTTATAATTTCCTATGTAATTTGATGTCTGCTATGATAGATCTCGTCATTTTACTAGCAATTGACACACATACATTTGAATGTATATACATCACTGTGCACTGGTCCAACTAAGGATTAACTAGGACCCAAAATTCAACTTAGTATAAAAAAGCAACCTTTTGCTTAACATTTTGAGCTGAAAAATAACAGTGACAATATCTGACATTAATGTTGACATTCTGCAGAGAAACAACTGAAATAAAATCAATCTACCACACATTTAGAATGTTGGATTACCTTTTAACTTAACTCTTCCAATAAAGTAATAGGCAAACAATTGTTTATGGGCTTCCCTTCTAAATACCTTAATTAAAAAGTGATTGTACTAGACACTGACACTGACGCCTACCTGAATTTTTTTTGAGAATTTGCTGAACATAAAAGTTACACATTCATTGAGGGTTCCTGTATTCTGAAGCAGTAGTAGTCCTTTTGGAGTAGCAGCAAAGTGTAATAAATCATCTAATAAAGTCTCTTCCCATACCATACTGAAAATGATAGAAAAAGAAAACAAATTAAAAATATTTTTAAAAGCTATGAAGAGCAAGAGAAAATATAAACTATTCAGTTTTTAAAAATCTACATTTCACCTACGTAGATGGTAGCAAGAGCAACTACTTCTTGGGGTTTAAGCTATGTACGAAAAACAGCACTGTATATAATTACTGGAACCAAATTGAAGATCACAGAAAAGATCTCAGGGGTATGTCTACACTGCCACCCTAGTTCGAACTAGGGAGGCTAATGTAGGCATTGGAACTTGCAAATGAAGCCCGGGATTTAAATATCCCGAGCTTTATTTGCATGTTCCCAGGTGCCACCATTTTTAAATGCCCCGTAGTTCGAACTACCTGCATGCGGCTACATGCGTCACGGACTAGGTAGTTCGAATTAAAGCTCCTAATTCGAACTATCTAGTCCATGCCACGTGTAGCCACGGGCAGGTAGTTCAAACTACAGGGCATTTAAAAATGGCGGCGCTCGGGAACATGCAAATAAAGCTCGGGATATTTAAATCCCGGGCTTCATTTGCAAGTTCCAATGCCTACATTAGCCTCCCTAGTTCGAACTAGGGTGGCAATGTAGAAATAACATCACATAAAGAGACAGCATGTTCCAGTCTTTAAAAAACACAACCAGGAGCCAGAAGTCTTAGGCTCTAATTCCTGATTCTGCAGGTGACTTATTTAATTTCTCAATTTCCCCAGCTGTAAAGTGGGAATAAGATTGCTTTCTCAGCTCAGTATAGCATTTTGAGAGTGAGAGATAAAAAGTATTATATAACCGCAAAATATTAGTAAAACTCTTTGTAGGTGTTATATCATACATGACACGATGCTAGAAAATGGGCATGACATTTATGAAATGAGGTGCTGTTATTTACAATAATAATCCACATGTGGGCTCAGTAAGCCTATGTGCTTTCTTTCCAAACTATTATATTTTTCAGGTGTTCAGTGAGAAACATTTTATATGTATTAATGGGTAGGGTATAACCAGGGAAAAGATTACTATTAAACACACCCAAAACACCCTCGAAGCAAGAAAGATAATCCCAGCATTGAAATTATCTCTCACCAGATACCATCTCATCACTGGATTCACTTTTTAATCCTAGTTTCCAGAACACATGGACTTTAATTTCTGGGTCTAAGATCGCTTGGTGGATGTTTGATTCCCACCAGCAGCAGTGAAAGGTATAAGCAGAAACCACCCTTCTAAGAATGGTTAAACACCACTTAAAATGTCAGCCACTGTACCTAAAAACTTGAAGTAATTTTTTATTTAGTGGAAAACAAATGCTTAATCTAAAAAATAATTTCTTGGAGGATTTTATCCTATAAAAAACTATCAAATTCAGCAGTTGGGATGGGATTGTTGTTTATAGTTCACTGGAATTGACTATTGGCAGCCATCTCCAGCCGAGCACTATCTATAGGCTTTTCATATTCAACAATGATTTAAAGTCACTACAGTCACTTTACAAAATGGGAAAAAATAAACTAACAAATATTGTTTTAATCCCTATACAAATTAGATATTGAAGCTTTTGGAAATGACCCACAGGAAGTAAAAAAAAGAGAAAACGGCACATATAAATCTATCAACAGTCTTTAATAACATGTTTTTTACATCCCACATTCATATGCAGCATGGAGTTCACATATTTCTCACCATGTAAATCTGAACATGCAAAAAGCTACTCGGGAAATGAAGTCAGTATTAACATCAAAATAGAGATGTCTTTTCTTTCACTATGAGAGTGGCTTTCAACCAGTAATCTCACAATGTGATGTTCTAAAGCATTGATGGCATTCAGCAAAAAAAGAATTGTGTCAACTATTTTGTTTTACAACTTCTAATTAATATTTTCCCAGATAAATTTTGATCCACACAGATAGCAAATTATGAGTCATCTCATAATTTGCTAGGAAGGTCTAAAATGAGAAACTGACACTCAAGACCTGTACTGACTTCTAGCTACCAGCCTGCTCCTAGTAAAAGCTTAAGGGTATGTCTACGCTAGCTCGTTAATTCGAACTAGGTAGGCAAATGAGGAGACCAGAGTTGCAAATGAAGCCTGGGATTTAAATATCCCGGGCTTTATTTGCATGTTCCCGTCCGGTCGCCATTTCCTCATAGAATGAGGAGTAACAGTTAATTCGAACTAAGGACTTACTTCGAATTAACGTTCAGGTTAATGAAATTTCAAAATGGCGACCGGACGGGAACATGCAAATAAAGCCCGGGATATTTAAATCCCAGGCTTCATTTGCAACTCCGGTCTCCTCGTTTGCCTACCTAGCTCGAATTAACGAGCTAGTGTTGACATACCCTAAGAAAACTTATGCACCTAATAGCTGTCCTGAAAGTCAACAAACCTGAGCTGTGGTGTATTAGTGTATTTTACCCAAATATGAACAGATGGAGCAGTACTTACATGTTTTGTGGCTCTTGATTTCCTGATGAAATGGAATCTGTCCCAGGTACAGGAGTAGGAATTCTTTCTGAAAGCACACTAGCCTATGAAATTTAAAAAAAAAAAAATTATTATTTACCTAATTTTAACTGACAGCACTTCTTAGAAGTTCTGACTATCAATAGCAAAAGGGGTGGAAGTATAGTAAAGAGGGCATTAGTCTGGTACTTGGGAGAGGTGAATTCAATTCCCTGCTAGGTCAACAGGCTTCCCATGTCTTATATAAGGCACTTAACGACAGATTTTTAAAAGGTATTTAGGCTTCTATCTGCAACTTTAAGTGTCTAAATACTTTTACAAATCTGACCCTTAGTTTCTGTAGTCACAGATTCTCACATGTAAATAGGATAACAAGCAGTTCCCTACTTCACAGGGGTATATTGAGGATAAAGGTATTAAAGATTCTGAAACACTCAGCTACTATAGTAATTGAGCCGCACAAGTGCTTCAATTACATAAAACAGATTAGTTGAAATAAATATAGAATACGTTTTAATGGGAATATATTTCAAAGTGGCACTATAATTTCTGTTAGTAAAATATATTTTTATTCTGAACCTTTATTCATTTCTTTTCACTCAAACTATTTTTAAATGATAGTAACAACATAAACAAAATCTGCACACTGTAGTATGTGTTACTTTAGTGGGGAATGACACTTTAATTCTGCTTCTCTAAGTATGCCGTTCTAGTAGGATTCTCACTCCTCGATCTCAGCTCCTTAGTGTGAGCCTAGCAGAACTTCACAAGCTTTTGTGGAATTTTTGGTGGTTGATGGAAGCCCAAGTCACTACCTTAGCCATTATGAGCCAGGATAGGTAGAAATGGTATCCCTAACCTCTGTTTCTCTGGAGGTGGGTGATAGGGGAGGGATCACGTGAGGATTACCTGTTGTGATCCCTCCTTCTGGGGCATCTGGTATAGGCCACTGTCAGCAGACAGGATAATGGGCTAGATGGACCTTTTGTCTGACCCAATATGTCTGTTCTCATGTTCTTATTAACTCTAGAAATTTCCTACAGGTTGGACCTCCCAAAACCAGGACTCTCTAGTCCAGCAACTCCCAAAGTCTGGCAGGACCACGGATGTACCTGGACCGGGGACCCTGGCTGGGAGCCCCAGTGGCAAGAGGGCTGGCAGCTCACAGCCTGGCAGGACTGGGCCCAGGGCCAGAGCCCCAGTAGCAGAGCAGGGACTGGAGCTGCAGCAGCCACCGCAACCCTGATAGTGGAGGCCAGGGATACAGCAGCCCTAGTAGCGGGGCTGGGGACTAGGGATATAAGCTACTAGTCCCTCGACTTTTCTCTTCTCCCACCCCCTGCCTCTATCAAGAGGTAGCAAGGGGGGGAGCAGTTCTCCCCAGCACTGTCTCCTCTGGGGAGGGCAGGAGAGGCAGAGGAGTAGTGGGACCGGGCACGAGCTGGGAGCCTGCCGCCTCTTAATACATTTAAAAAGCAGAAGTGTAGCAGCGGGGACCCAGAGCGAGCTCGGACAGCTGATTCCCAGCCCATGCCGGGTCCCCCCACTGCACTTCAGCCTTTTAAATGTATTAAAAGCCTGCCAGCTCTTAATACAGTTAAAAGACAGAGACACAGAAGGGTTAGCTCTCAGGGCCGGGAGCTAACCCCATTGCAGCTCCCCAGAATATGGACTAATTGACTAGTCAATGGAAATTCCATTGACTAGTCGATGAGTTGATTAAACTAAACATTCCTACTGGGGACACTGCAGTTCGGGCTGCCGGGGCTGCAGCAGCATGACAGTTTTACGGGGGGAAAGGGCTGAGGTGGGCAATAGGGAGAGGTGGTGGGCTGGGGGACTGGTAGCAGGGGACCTCTTCTGGTCCAGCAAATTCCCTTGTTCAGGACTGCTCATATCCAAAGAGTGCAGGACGAGAGAGGTCCAACCTGTAGTTAGCTCTTTCTTGACCATGGCAAGCAAAGGAGCAATTCACCCAAACTGTGCCACTCCAATCACCATTTCAACTTCAACTCATTTAACATTATTTGGATATGATATCCTGTACTCTTAGTCACACATTTCCAGTTAGGCCTAATATTTTATGATTTTTTCCCAAAACTTTTTTGCCACAATTGACCCTAAAATGCAAATAAGGCCCGGATCTCCAAATAACCTTTGACTCTCCAATCAGGCCTTTTTTATGTTTAGTAAATATTTTGGTGCATTTTTTTCGTTCGTGCTTTCTTTGGGGTTCTAAAAAAAACTCCTGTGATTTCCTTTGATAATGCCACTTATAAATCACAATATGATGATTGTCACTGTGCTGAGATTTTATTAGTACCCTCTTATGTTGAGTAAGGAAATTCAGTGTCAGAAAAAATACTTAACACTACAGTATTCAAAGTAAAACAAAATTAATACGCACCAAAATAAACACTAATATACAAAATGTCCTGGGATACTATGCCAGAGTTATGAATCAAAGTAATTCAATTACACTAATAAACAGCTATCTGTCCAGTTGTAAAATACTGTGGCAGGTTTATCAGAAATGTGAAAATTAAGTTTGTAAGTTCTGTATCACATGTTCTGTATCACTTTTTTATTAGCACAACAATACAATCTTGAAAAAAATTGAAAAAAATGTAATTCTATTTCCATCTTTTACGTGGTATAGAAAGAATTGCACATAATATATTTTTAAAACTCTGAGGAAAAATACAAACTTTCTGAAATTTTGTAGGTAACTGTTTTATTATAAAATGTTATTATAAAATTTCACATACAAAAAAGAACTTTGTTCCATTTATCTATAGAGTTCAGTGCTCTCAACTATAGGATACGGGGGTCTTTACTGCATATTAGCTTTGATCTGATCTGAAGAAAGAAGCATCTTCTGAATAATCAATATACAAATAAATATACCAAACAACCCTATTAATAGTCAGAAAAACAGTCAAAACATTTGATATGGATGCTAATATAAAAGTTATCTGAAAATTTTTTTTTTTCATTTAAGATAAATGATTTAAGATTTTTAGGTTTTTAAGTAAGGATAGGAATATCACACTCCTTAATAAACTGATAGTGGATATTATAGATTATGTAATTTCAGATGCATAATTTCAGTTAGCATAATGAAGTTATATTATAAACATGCATATGATCAGATAGATCCATATAATTACGAAGTAAGCTGTTAGCATTTTCTGGCTCTGTGAACTCTACTTTTATCTTCTTTTTCGTCATGCCAGCATCTGCCCCAAAATTCTATTACTGCCATGCACTTGATGATAAGCACATTTTAGTGGCTTTGCTTGCAGAGTGAAACAGTTCCTTAGCTGTCTTACTGGAAAGTGCTTATGTTCAGAAGTGAAGTGCTAAAAGAGTTATGGATCAGTTACTACAGCAAGTATGTCCATTCATTGGGAAAGAGATACTATGATCAAAATATTTGAAAGTACAAAAAGGTCACAGATTTATAGGTGCCGCAAGGGTGAGCTCAAATATTAAGTATCAAGAAAAAGCTGTGTCATGGGGAGTTAAAATAAAAACTCTAAAAATAGTTTGAAAATATGTGGGTTATGTTTTCAAACTATTTTTACAGTTATTATTTTAGAGACTGGTAATGTTATTCTCCAATTGTCCCATTTTTAGCACCTGCCAGAACGCTGCACAGATAAAATGGTTACTTACCTCTTGTAATTGTTGTTCTTCAGGATGTATTGCTCATGTCCATTCCATATATGTGTGTGCATGCTGCATGCACAGGCCATTGGGAGTGTTTTCCTTCAGTGGTACCTGTCAGGGAGCCCCCTAGAGTGGCACTTGCATATGCACACATATAATCCCCTGTCATCTTGCCACCCCTTCCAGGAGGCATAAGGGAGCTGTCGAAAAAGGCTTTCTTTCTTACCAGATCCCCCTCTAGACTGCCTTTTTGCCGACAAAGTGCTGAGTTGGCAAAACGTGGCAGCCATTTTTATGCAAATTAGACACGGGATATTTAAATCCCTGCCTCATTTGCAATGTCGACCTACCTAATCTGCATCCCTCTGCCGACAGAGGGATGCAGTCTAGACTTTGAGCATCTCAAAGGACCTGCTGAGTTGATCTGCCAGCACATTCTGCAACCCAGGAAGGTAGGAGGCTACAGGGTGAATGGCATGGGTGATGCAGAATTCCCACAGGAGGAAAGCTTCCCAGAACAGGGGACGGGAGTGAGCTTCACCCTGTTTATATAAAACATTGTTGCCGTGTTGTCTGTCTGGATTGAAATGCACCTATTTCAAAAATGTGGAAGGAAAGCATGGCAAGCAAGGCAAATAGCCCTCAACTCCCTGATGCTGATATGCAGGGAAAGGTCTGTGGGGGACCATATAACTTGAGTCCGTAGGCCCCCAAGGTGGGCTTCCCATCCCATGTCAGAGGCATCCATCACCAACCAAATCAATGGGAAAGGGCTGCTAAATGGCAAACTGCTGCAAATCACCTCCTCCTGCAACCACCAGTCAAGGGACCTCAGTTACCACCATGTCCATGGGCTGGAACTTGTGAACTTGCACCAACGAAAGCTGAAGCGGGCAAAGCCTGAGATTGATGTGCCACACCACATATGTGCCCGCTGCCACAAAGGCTAGCAGCCTTGTACAACTCCAGGCTGTGTTGACGGGGGACAGACAGAGCCTCAGAACAGCCTCTTTTATTGCTAGGAAATGGGTTGTAGGCAGGGAGGCCATGGCTGTTGTAGTGTTGACAGCCTCCCCTCCCTCCCCCAACTCTATCCTTTGAGTGGGAACTAGGGTGGACTTGGCCTCGTTCAAAATGAGACCTAGCTGGAGAAATACATCCCTGACTAGGGATATGTTATCCAGCACCTGGATAGCGGAGGATCCTCTTATGAGCCCTTCGTTTAGATATGGGTAAACCTGAACCTGCTTCTTGCACAGAAAAGTGACGATGACTGCCATGCATTTGTTAAACAACCTTAGGGGCCATGGTGGACCTGAGAACTCAATTTCCTTTACTATCTTATTTAGATGATTATTGATGGGCATGTTCATGCTATAGTCTCAACTTGCCCTCTGAAGCAGGATACAGAAATAGCAGCTGTACCATAGTGATATGTTTGATAGATTTTTCATTCTCACTATTCTTCATGTTCATCTTCTTTATGTCAAATTTAAGTTTTGTGCCCAAATGATGGTCTGTACTATGACAAAAGAATTCAATGTGCCTAGAGGTGTGTATGCAAGCCTAGCTATATCACTTGTAGCACTTCATCACAGCAGGTAATTGGAAATGCCCATCAAAAGCTTATAAGATTTCATATGCCATAAAAATTTAATAAAATAAGTTATACAGTTTTTAAAGTTAGACTGAAAATAATCCTCATCACAAAGATAGACAACCCAGGAAACTACAGACCGGTCAGTTTACGTCTGTCCCAGGGAAGATAATAGAGCAGGTAATTAAGGAAATCATATGCAAACACTTGGAAGGTAATAAAGTGATAGGGAATAGCCAGCTTGGGTTTGTGAAGAACAAGTCATGCCAAACTAATCTGATAGCTTTCTTTGATAGGATAACGAGCCTTGTGGATAAGGGAGAAGCGGTGGATGTCATATACCTAGACTTTAGTAAGGCATTTGATACGGTCTCGCATGATATTCTTATTGATAAACTAGGCAAATATAACTTAGATAGGGCCACGATAAGGTGGGTGCATAATTGGCTGGATAACCGTAGTCAGAGAGTTGTTGTTAACGGTTCTAAATCCTGCTGGAAAGGGATAACAAGTGGAGTTCCTCAAGGGTCTGTTTTGGGACCCGTACTGTTCAATATCTTCATCAATGATGTAGATATTGGGATAGAGAGTACTCTTATTAAGTTTGCAGATGATACCAAACTGGGTGGGGTTGCAACTTCTTTGGAGGATAGGGACATAATTCAAAATGACCTTAGCAAGTTAGAGAAATGGTCAGAGGTAAACAGGATGAGGTTTAATAAGGAGAAATGCAGAGTGCTCCACTTAGGAAGGAACAATCAGTTCCATACATACAAGATGGGAAGCGACTGTCTAGGAAGGAGCATGGCGGAAAGGGATCTAGGGGTCATAGTGGACCACAAGTTGAATATGAGTCAACAGTGTGATGCTGTTGCCAAAAAAGCAAATATGATTCTAGGTTGTATCAACAGGTGTGTTGTAAGCAAAACTCGTGAAGTCATTCTGCCGCTCTATTCTGCACTAGTTAGGCCTCAGCTGGAGTACTGTGTCCAGTTCTGGGCGCCACATTTCAAGAAAGATGTGGAGAAATTGGAAAGGGTACAGAGAAGAGTGACAAGAATGATTAAAGGTCTAGAGAAGCCTATGAAGCCAGGCTTCATGAACTGGGCTTGTTTAGTTTGGAAAAAAGAAGATTAAGGGGGGACATGATAGTGGTTTTCAAATATCTAAAAGGGTGTCACAAGGAGGAAGGTGAAAATTTGTTCCTCTTGGTTTCTGAGGACAGGACAAGGAGTAATGGGCTTAAAGTGCAGCAGGGGAGGTTTAGATTGGACATTAGGAAAAAATTCCTAACTGTCAGGGTGGTCAAATATTGGAATAAATTGCCAAGGGAGGTGGTGGAATCTCCCTCTCTGGAGATATTTAAGAACAGGTTAGACAGACATCTGTCAGGGATGGTGTAGACGGAGGTTGGTCCTGCCTTGAGGGTGGGGGGCTGGACTCGATGACCTCTCGAGGTCCCTTCCAGTCCTATTATTCTATGATTCTATGACAGACAACTTCTTGAGTTGCATTGTTTACATGTATTGTGCAATTTAATTCACTTAATTTACCAGAATTCTAGACTGATCTAGCTTTAATATCATGTACAATTAGAAATCTAATTTATCATTATAAAATTGAGATTTTGGTAATTACCTATTTTATTTTTACTAATTTTAATAATTAGCCTTTGCCCTTCACTGCAGTACCAATGTGCAACAGAGATAAGAAATATCCAAAATAAACTGATGCTTCAAAGTATCTCTTATTCAGACTTTATATAACTATAAATAATGGCTTAAATTTGGTTTTGTGATTGTTTATATTATTTTAAAGTATAATGTTGTATACCCACACATATTAATCATAGGCTATATACACAGTATTGCAGTGGAAGCCATAGCTATTTTATGCTAACTCCTGCCTTACTCACGTCTTCAGTCTCACTTCTTTCTGAAAACTTAACCTTTATAAGCCATTTTATTTTGAGGGCTGAGACGCTGTCTGTAAGCAAATATTTTGGGAGCATTTGAGACAAAATATTCCTTTCATTTTTAAGTATAAGGGGAAAAAAAATTCAATCACTTTCCCAACTGAAATATTTTAATGACTTACTTGAAATGAACTCTAGCCTCAAAGTGCTTTAGGGAAAAAATGAAATTTGGCATGAAAATCGTCATCCGCTTAAATAATGTTTTGATTTGACAAAGTTATGAATTGTTTGACTACTTCAGTCTAGGAATATGCAACAATTTTTTTTCACAATGATTATGCAAAGCTCACAATATGTTGCACATGTGTGCATGACTAGTCTATCTGAGCACTGAAAATATTAGTGAATTAAGTGGGATCCCAAAATTGTTTATTCACTAAGTATATTGTAAACGAAAATCCACATAGCTATTAAAGTTGCAGGAGAAGAGCTCACTAGGACAGGCTTGCTCTGATACAAAAGAGAAGAGCTTCCTTTTATAGGCCGTGTAGGTGCAAGTGTTAGGGTATTTCAATTGGATCTAAACAATAAATTTCACTCTCTGAAATTCCATTTTTGTGTGTCTTCTCCCCTACCTCATAGTAAAATTCATTTTTTAAAAGGACTAAAGTTTTTGTTTGATTGATTTTTACAAGACCTGGAATCAAGAGTGAAAATTAAAAAAGATCAGGAATGGAAAATGATACCATGAAGTCTTCCTTTGATATATGATGAGCACTGACCTGCAGGAGGTCACAACCCCATTGTAGCTTGTCTCATGGACAATCGCCAAAAATAAATAACATGTGGATAACTGAGGGCTGCCAAAATACATTATCAGTTTTTAGAAGTTCACAGTGTAACCCAGAGTGTTTCTAGACTACAGGGTTTTTTCGAAAAAAGTGGCCTTTTTTTGAAAAAACTTCCCCTGCATCTAGACTGCTGCAGCGTTCTTTTGAAAGTAAATCGGAAGAACGCGGCAGTTTTTTCGACCACAGAAAACATCGTTTTATGAGGAAGAACACCTTTTTTTGAAAGTGCTCTTTCGAAAAAAGACGCTATGTAATGCAAACTGTGCTTTTTCAAAAGAGAGCATCCAGACTGCCTGGGTACTCTCTTTTGAAAAAGCGGCTTGCTTTTTCAAAAGTACTGATTGTAGGTTAGACCAGTGGTTCTCAACGTGGGCCATATGACTCCCCAGTGGGGCCACACCTTACTCCTACGGATCCACATGGAAAAAAACTGGAATGTTAGGGGGCCACCGTAAGTTTCTAAGGGGGCCACCCAAACTTAACTGACAGGCATATGATGAGTGAGGCTCAGAAGGGTCCAGGAGCAAAAAATGATTGAGAAACACTGGTCTAGACGCTCTTTTGAAAAGAGGTTTTTTGAAAGTATCTTTTGAAAAAGCCTCTTTCAAAAGAGGCTTGCAGTCTAGACGTAACCCTAAAGACATAAAACTCCCAAGCTCTATGAGATACTGCCATGCCTGCATCTGAATGCATAGACTCAGGGGTATAAATCATCTTTAGAGCACAAGAGTTGTACAGTAAAGGGTCATGTCGCCCATATCTATGTCCCCACTGCACTGTAAATTAAAGATAAAGGATTTAATCTGAACAGTAATATAATAACAAAGATATATTCGATTGTTCACAAAACACTTATGTTTCCAATAAAATGGTTACCTTCTTCCAAGCCTCAGCAATGGATTCATGCAAACCATAAGGAATAAGCACCTGCAGACCTTCACAGGTACCATACATCTGACGACACACAAAAATGAAAGCTCCTTTAAGGGCTGGCAACATCTCAGTTCCGGACAAAACAGAAATATTTTCCTCAAGGAGTTTCTTTGTGAATTGAAAAATTGTATGAGCTGCTGTAAGACTAGAAACAAAATAGCACTTTTAAAACATTGTTTTGTAGTCACTAACAAACAGCATAAAATTAACCACATTGATTAGCTCATGCAATTTCTACAGTACGAGTATAAGAGCACTACAAGGCAGTCCTCGGGGTTGAACTCATGGCCCTTTAAGTTAGGTACAGAAAAAAAATGTTCCAACCTCAGCAAGAGGAAAATAAAAGTCACTGGGCACTTTGTACTATAGATCCAAACAGAACAAATGTGGAACAGCTTCTGTCCATCTAGTTAAAATAAGGCTGGATAAAAATTGATGATATTTTAAAAGACAAAAAAAAAATTATCATGTGGACAACTGAGGGCTGCCAAAGTACATTATCAGTTCTCAGTGTAACCCAAAAGCATAAAACCCCAAAGCTATTTGAGATACATATAGAGACATATTTTCTTCTTAAATATACCAAGGACTGAATTTACTATAACCTACTAAAATAATTAGAATTAAATTGTATACATACATGCATTCACACACACACACACACACACACAATATATATGCCCTATGAAACAATGGTATCTCTATTGTATACATATATATACACCCACATATACTTGAAGTAATATATTTGCTGATGAAATTTTAAAGAAAGCAAAGTGACTGAACTGGTAGAAGTTATTAGCTAAGCATCTGGAACCAGATTTCTCAAAATGCTACAGGTCCAGAGAGACTATTTACTTCATTTCAATTTATGCTACTAATTCAGTTCAGTGACTAGATCATTCAAAGTTAAAAAACCAGCTGGGAGTTGAAAAAGATGGAAAGAAGGTTACTCACCTGTGCAGTAAATTACATTCTTCGAGATGAGTGTCCCTGTGCCCCTGTATCTTTGCTCAGAGTTTTCTACGCCAGTACTCATGCAAGTTGGGCATGCAGGGAACCTACCTCATGCACCAGTTGTGTCTCAACAGTGCATGTGAACAGTTGGATTCCTCAGTTCTCTCTTCAATAGAAGACGCCCCAGCTCTGAAATAGAGGGGAGGAGAGTGGGTGGTGGACTACCCACAAGGGCACTCATCTCAAAGAATGTCAGTTACTATACAGATAACCTCCTCTTCTTTGAAAGAGCTGTCACTATTGATGCTCTACTCCAGGTGATTAAAAGCAGTGCCTCTCAAGGAAGTAGGTACTTCAGATCTTGTAGGAATGCAGTGGATAATACAGTTCTTCCCATATGAGTATCAATTGGTTGGGGTCCTTGGATAAGCACATAGTGTCTTGCAAGAGTGTGTTCAGAAGCCCAAGTGGCAGCCTTACAAATATGCAGGAGGGGAACTTTACATAGGAATGTCACAGAAGTTCATATGAACCTGGCAAAGTGAGTTCTGACAGAAGTTGGTGACATAATATTCTGTAACTGATAAAAGAGGCAAATGCAACCTGAAGTCCAGTTGAAAAGTCTCTGGGTAGAGATAAATATGCATCTGGAACATTCCATAATGAAGATAAAGAGTTTGGGGAACTCTTTAAGGGTTTGGCTCTGTTCAAGTAAAAGGACATCTAATGTGTGCACTGCTAATTCAAGGAATTTGCATAAAGTTTAGGGAAGAAGGTAGGTAAATGGATAGGTTCACAGATATGAAAGGATAAGTGCATTTTTGAAGAAATTCAGTGTGTAGTCAGAGGGTGACTTTGTCCTTAAAAAATACTGTATATTGCATATCCGCCATGAGCACTCGAATTTTCCTGTACATGCAATGGAGGTAATTGCCACTAAAAATACAGTTGTCATATATAGCTGTAGAAGGGAACATGTTGCTAACAGCTGAAATGGGTGTTTAGTCAAGCACTTTCGGACTAAATGAAGGTCCCAAAGTGGAGTGGGTGGTTTAATGTTTGGGTATAGGGATTGGAAGCCCTTGAAGAAGCACTTTGTAAAGACATGAGTAAAGACAGCAGTATCTCTGATTTTGTGTTGAAACACTAATTGCAGCTGAATGGACTTTGATAGAACTAAGGGAGAATTCAGAGTGTTTAAGCTCTAACAGACTGTTGAATATTAATAGATGAGGTGTGGAAGTAGGAGCAGTTTGTTTGTCAGATCACCAGTGTGTGAATCTCATCCACTTATGAAGGTAGAATTGCTCTGCTATGTAAGACTCTCCTTTGTACTTCTGCAAAGCAGGAGTGTTAAAATGTGTTTATTTGTGTAATACGCATTTTCAAAGGGAGGAGACAGGAGCTGATGCTTGCAGGGCCCTAGGCTAGGAATCGGTGGAAAAAGGAGGGCCAGTGTCCCCCTATCCTGGCTGCTGTCCACACCCCTGGGTGGAGGCCCCAACACATGAGCTGACCAATAGGCAATACAACCCCGCACCATGGGAAACTCTATGACTCTAGTCACTACGGCCCCCCCACCCTATGAACCCACAGTATCTCTCCTGAATATGACCTTTAACCACATTGCCCCTTGAACCAGAATAACTCTATGGACTCTGGTCATTGGGCCTCTCTGCCTTGTGATAGGCTGTGCCATTGATGTGGGTCAAGCGATCCTCTTGCTCAGCCGTTCTGGGCAATTTATAGACTTCGTTCACAGGGCTTTATAGCCCAGTTATCAGAGCACCCCTCTTGACTTGAATCCTTAAGTCCCACTGCCTACAGACAGAGGGCTACTCAAAGAACAGGATGAATTCCCCCACACTGGATGGGATCTCCCCACCCCATCACAACATCACTATGATCCTCACCAGTACAATCCAGGTAAACAGCTCTTTTTCCCTTAGCTGGGATCTGATTCAGAAACTACTTTCTGAGAATGGTTATCCAGCCAATTATGCACCAACCTTCTAGTAGCCCCATCTAAGTGTATATCTAGACTGCATCCCTCTGTCAGAAGAGAGATGCAGATTAGGCAGGTCAACATTGCAAATGAGGCAGAGATTTAAATATCCCGTGCCTAATTTGCATAAAAATGGCTGCCGTGTTTTGCCGACTCCGCACTTTGTCGGCAAAAAGCAGCAGTCTAGAGGGGGATCTGTTGAGAAAGAAAGCTTTTTCAACAGATCCCTTATGCCTCCTGCAAGGAGGTTTACATAAACCATGACTATAGCTAGAGTTTGGGGAAAAAAAACTCTGGGAGCTGTTGAAATCCCGAAAGGGAATACTTGGAATTTGTAGTGTTGAGACCCAACTGTGAATCACAGAAAACACTTATGGGTGGGATGAATTGTTATATGAAAATAGGCATGCTGGAGATTGAGAGCCTAAAGCCAATCTCCTTGATCTAGCACTGGAATTATTGTTGCTAGAGCTAAAGTCACCATTTTGAATAGCTGATAAGTGACATATTTGTTGAGCCTCCTCAAATCCAGAACGGGTCTCCATCCTCCATTCTTTTTCTGAATTAGTAAATAAGTTGAATAAAACCCTCTCCCTTGGAACGCAGTTGGTACTGGTTCTATGGCACCTATCAGTAGAAGATGTCAGGATGGCGGTTGGTTTCTAATGGAGTGCCCCAAGGTTCGGTTCTAGGACCGGTTTTGTTCAATATCTTTATTAATGACCTGGATGAGGGGATGGATTGCACCCTCAGCAAGTTTGCGGATGACACTAAGATGGGGGGAGAGGTAGATACGCGTAAGGGCAAAGATAGGGTACAGAATGACTTAGACAAATTGGACGATTGGGCCACAAGAAATCTGATGAGGTTCAACAAGGACAAGTGTAGAGTCCTGCACTTGGGACGGAAGAATCCCAAGCATAGTTACAAGCTGGGGACCAACCAATTAAGTAGTAGTTCTGCAGAAAAGGACCTGGGGGTTACAGTGGATGAGAAGCTGGATATGAGTCAACAGTGTGCCCTTGTAGCCAAGAAGGCTAATGGCATATTAGGTTGCATTAAGAGGAGCATTGCCAGCAGATCCAGAGATGTCATTATTCCCCTTTATTCGGCTTTGGTGAGGCCACATCTGGAGTATTGTGTCCAGTTCTGGGCCCCCCTCTACAAAAAGGATGTGGCCGCATTGGAGAGGGTCCAGCGGAGGGCAACCAAAATGATTAGGGGGCTGGAGCATATGACTTATGAGGAAAGGCTGAGGGAGTTGGGTCTGTTTAGTCTGCAGAAGCGAAGAGTGAGGGGGGATTTGATAGCAGCCTTCAACTTCCTGAAGGGAGGTTCCAAAGAGGATGGAGAGAGGCTGGTCTCAGTAGTGACAGATGGCAGAACAAGGAACAATGGTCTCAAGTTGTGGTGGGAGAGGTCCAGGTTGGATATTAGGAAAAACTATTTCACTAGGAGGGTGGTGAAGCACTGGAATGGGTTACCTAGGGAAGTAGAGGAGTCTCCATCCTTAGAGGTGTTTAAGTCTCGGCTTGACAAAGCTCTGGCCGGGTTGATTTAGTTGGAATTGGTCCTGCCTAGAGCAGGGGGCTGGACTTGATGACCTTCTGAGGTCTCTTCCAGTTCTATGATTCTATGATTCTAAGATTAAGCACCTCTTTCTGGAGGAGGGTGTTGTGAGAGGGGTCACTGAAGAGGGCCGGGGTGGGGGGATGAATAGGAGAAAGGGAGGTGAAAGGGATGGAGTAACCAACCTAGATAAGCTCCAATACCCATTGGTCCAATGTTATTTGTGCCCACTGGTGTAGAAAGGGCCAGAGGCAGTGGCTGAAATGTGGATGACTGGATAATGGTGTGACCACAGGGGGAGTGTCTTTCTGGCTCTCAAACAAACCTTCAAATCTGTTGTTTTGATGTACAAGGTTGGGATGTGGAGGATTGACACTCTTGTTGATGTTGCGGTCTATGTCGTTGGGGCTTGTGTTTTTGATGGAAGTCATACCTGGATTGTGGTCTGTATGACTCTCTGGGTCTTTGTTAGGTATTGTATCTGGCTCTCTTGGAAGGGGGTGTGTACATGACCAGGACCAGGAGGGTCATGCGGGAGTCCTTCATGGAATGAAGCACTTCATTCATTTTTTCAGCAAACAGGTTGGTCTTGTCAAAGGGGAGATCCTTGACTTTTTGCTGCAGGCCCCTTGGTACTCCTGGTGCTTGAAGTCATGATATCCTGTGCATCACAACAGCCGGGGCTGTGATGCGGGCAGCAGTGTCGGCCACATCCACTGTGGACTGTAATGCCGTATGGGAGATTGTATGCCATTCCTTAATAACATTAAGGAGAATTGATGTCTTATGCACAGGCAGAAATTGTACGAGCTCCTGCAACTTGGAATAATTGGAATTGTGATAGTATGCCAGCATTGCAGTGTAATTTGCTGCCCTAAGGATCAGGGTACAAGAGTACACATTGCATCCCATGATGTCCATTCTTTTGTGATCCTTGTTCTGTGGCGTAGACCTCATATCTTTTTTTGTGTCTGACAGAGTTGACCACTAGGGAATTTGCGGGAGGATGGGTAAAGAGGAAGACCATGCCTTTCGGTATAATAAAATACTTGTGGTCAGCTCTCTGATTGGTGGGTGTGATGGACGCCGGGGTTTGCCAGATGCTTTTGATAGTGTCTATAATGGCTTTATCCATGGGGAGGGGAAAGGATGTGGGGGGCTATAAAGTTCGCAAGAGATGGTATTGTTTCTCCTGGACCTCATGCAGGTCTTGTTCCTGCACTAGGGCAACCCTTTTAAAAAGTTCTTGAAATTTTTTAGAATTGTTGGGTGGAGGCAGAGTGGTAGAGATAACTGCCTTATCTGGTGAGGAGGAAGAATTGTGCAGGGGGGACCTATCTTTACCCTTGGACAGGGAGGCCTCAATATCAGTCTGGATAGGCTTGGGGGAAATCTGGTGTGAGAGCAGATGGTGTGGGTTGGGGAGAACAGGGTGGTCCTCTGGACGCTGTTGAAGGAGCCATGTGATGGCCCTTAAGATAAGATCGTGAATCCCATGGATGCCATTGCCTGGGATAAAGGGGGGTGGGTATGGGTATTGGTGTGTATACCACGCTGGTGACAGAGTAGGATAGGGATATGCGGCAGGACCAGACTCCCAAGGTGGACATCTCTGAGTAGGACTGAAGTGCTGGGATGAGAAGCAGCTGTATGGTTTGGTGCCGGCTTTGTCAGGAGAGATTGGGGGAACCGGTGATCTATGAGAGCATGGAGACGGCAGAGCCAAAGGAGGACAGCTAGTTGGAGGAGACTGGTGTCGCAAATGCTCGTGTCAGTTCCAAGCTTTGGTGCGTAATGGACAGTGCCGCTGGCACCGTTGGTAATGGGTGCTTTGGAGGCAGCAAGTCAGGGTGAGGTTTCTTGGGTGCCGTGACTGGTGCAAGCTTCGGTGCCAGTCTGTGCCTCTGAAGTGTGACTGGTTTGGCCGGTCCTGATTACTTTTGTTTGGGTTCCGAGTGCACATTCTTATGTTTGCTTTCTGTAAAATGCCCCTTCACGTTGGCATTTATACTACATTGTTCTGTCACATTTCATTCCATTGACACACTCACTTTATCTGATAATTCGACTTTAAAGCAAAACCAAAATATATGGTAAGTTTTAAATAACAAGGAGACAATGAATAATTTCAAGCTCATGTTTAGTGGAGTAACATAGTTTTTTTAAGTATTCTCTTACCTGTCCTTTTTGGCAGAATTCATGTTTCTTCCATAAAGGAGAAGAGAAAGACCATCTTCTACAGCAGCAATCCTTGCCAAAATATCTGCTATTTGTATTAAAGCGGTTTCAGGGCAATTTATATATACCTGGTTTGTTAAAAAATACATTAGTTTTTAAGATAAATGATTTCCAAAGTATCTTTTTTTACATGTTTAATGTTTCTCCAAAATATGTTTGTTCAATTTGGCTCACCCTTCTGGTAGATGTTCAACAGCCTAAACCAGTGATACTCAAATTGAGGCCACGTCTACACTATCAGCTAAACTGGCAATGCTGCAATCAATGCAGTAGTGTTGATTTAGCAGATTTGGTGAAGACACATTAAATCGATGGGAGCAACAACCTATGTACCTCAGCTCCACAAAAGGTGGAAACTATGTTGACGAGAGTGTCATTTGTCAACACAGCACAGTGTAGACAACACTGTAAGTTGACCCAAGTTACATTAACTTACATAACTGAACTACTATAACTTAGATCAACTTAGAGCCAGGCCTGATGCTTGCAAGCTGCAAGTGGCTCTAATGCAGGGGTGGGCAAGAAGCTGCCAGCAGGCCGGATCCGGCCAGCCAAGCCACCAGATCTGGCCCACGGTTGCCTCGCTGGGACCCTTGAGCAGTGATGGGAGGACCATGTAGCTGCTCTACAATGAAAATATTCATATTTTCCAGTTGCATTGACTTCCAGAACCACAAAAATATACTTTTAAAAAAGTACTGAATTTTCTCACACGCCTCTTTGACATAAGATTTAATCAAATATATAAAGTTTACTACAAACCTCTGTTCCATTCAGTAAATTACGAATGGGATGAAGAAGCACATCTATCACTTTATTAGTATATAAAAATTCAGTAGTACATTCGGTTCGGTCACACAGAATCTGTAGCACCTCTGTAACTAAGACTGATGGAGAATAATTACCTGACAAACACAAGAAATGTTAGTTTAAATTTTGAATATAAATGAACTTTTTATCCAGATGCGTACCTACCTCATTTTCAATTGGATAATATAATATTCATGCAAGAAAGAAAGAAAACAAGTAAACATTTGCAAACCTGTTATTTAAAATATCCAAATTAAAAGTTATCAAATAAAAAAGTTATTGAATTCCAATTCTATTTACAAAGTGATACAATTAAGAAATTAAATAAAAAGGGACAATATTACCTGTGTGCACTGTCAGAGTTTTCTTTGGGCAAGTGGGAGCGCAATAAATAAACCGAATAAATAGTACCAACAGGTCGGTTAGGGATATGAAATCTACAAAAATCACAAAGAAAAAAAGGACTCTATAAAATAAAGCATTGTATTAACTTCATAACAAAATGAACTTTCTAAACATAGGCAAGATACTTCTTGTTTTATTATAATTAATGGCTATAACTACAGATGATACACTAGAGTAATTTTGGACTGTAGCCACTTATCTAACCATTCTAAATACTTGCAGATCATCTTATATGGCTTGAACCTCTCCCATTTCAATCCATCTTTCATGGTAGTAGGAGGCAGCTTATTTGAATATATTGAATATATGTACAATATTTATTAATAGTTGGACAAACTCCATCAAGGCTATTAAAAGGTGAAGTTCATTGTAAAGGGAATTTTCCATAAATATGCAACAGGACTGTGGATTTAATTTATTATCTCACTGTCATCATAATTTGACCATTTTAGTACTCTAACTGCTCCATTTTTTTTCACTACTCAGAAAACAATAAAAATTAACTTGCAATCAAGGATGAAGAAATTAGGTCCGATGCTCTATTTTAGCCACACTATGTCTAATAAACACTCCCGAGTTACAGAAGTGATGAATAATAGAAACAATTTCACATAATATCCACAACACCACATTTGAAACATAACTTTCCACAAACACATTGTCATGAAACATATTCTTCTGTCCTCTACCTATCCATACCTTTTCTATTTTCCAGCTGTGTAGGAAATAGGTTTCTGCCTTGTTTATATATCAACAATCTTCCTAAAAGGCACAGTGAATGAACAAAATAGATATACTGTAACTCTTCTCCCGTGTAGAAAGTCTTCTGGTTACTGCCTTAAAAAATAAGAACATTTCTCAGAATTCAGTTATAGTTTTCAGTAAGACTCCTATCTATTCTGTATTCCTGTTTGAACTACCAATAAATGTGTAGCACTACATTTGTAAAGGAAGTTTCCCAGACAGCATAAATAAGCAAATATCACTGAATTCTTTTTTCCCCCATTTCCAGTGAGAAAGATCTAAAGAGGTCTAAACCCTGACATCTGCTGGGAAACCTATACAGCAGTACACAGGCAATCCAGGAAGTTTTTGGAGAATGTTGGGGATAACTTCTTAACACAGGTGCTGAAGGATCCGACCAGGGGCCGTGAGCAGCTTGACCTTCTGCTCACAAACAGGTAGGAACTAATAGGGGAAGTGGAGGTGGGTAACAACCTGGGAAGCAGTGATCATGAGATCATAGATTTCAGGATCCTGACCAAAGGAAGAAACGAGAGTAGTAAAATACACACCTTGGACTTCAAAAAAGCAGATTTTGACTCCCTCCGAGATCGGATAGGCAGAATCCCCTGGGATGTTAACATGAAGGGTAAAGGAGTCCAGGACAGCTGGCAGTATTTTAAAGAAGCCTTATTGAAGGCACAGAAAGAAACCATCCCGACGCGTAGTAAGAGAGGCAAACATGGTAGGAGACCGGACTGGCTTACAGGGGAAATCCTTGGTGAACTTAAGCACAAAAAGGAAGCTTACAAAGAGTGGAAACTTGGACAAATGACCAGGGAGGAGTTTAAAGGTATAGCTCGAGAATGCCGGGGGGTTATCAGGAAGGCGAAAGCGCAAATGGAATTGCGACTGGCTAAGGATGTGAAGGATAACAAGAAAGGTTTCTACAGGCATGCTAACAAGAAGAAGGTGATCAGAGAGGGTGTGCGGCCCCTAATGGATGAAAGAGGTAACCTAGTGACAGATGATGTGGGGAAAGCTGAAGTACTCAATGCAGACTTTTCCTCTGTATTCACGGACAAGGTTGACTCCTGGACTTCTGCGCCAAGTGACGCAAGATGGGATGAAGATGGACAGCCCGTGGTGGGTAAAGAACAGGTAAGGAACTATTTAGAAAAGCTAAACGTACATAAATCCATGGGTCCAGACTTAGTGCATCCGAGGGTACTGAGGGAGTTGACAAATGTCATTGTGGAGCCTTTGGCTATTATCTTTGAAAAGTCGAGGAGATCGGGAGAAATCCCGGATGACTGGAAAAAGGCAAATGTAGTGCCCATCTTCAAAAAAGGGAAGAAGGATGATCCAGGGAACTATAGGCCAGTCAGTCTTACCTCGGTTCCTGGAAAAATCATGGAAGGGATCCTAAAGGAATCCATTTTGAGGCACTTGGAGGAGAGGAAAGTGATTAGGAATAGTCAGCATGGATTCACAAAGGGCAAGTCGTGCCTGACCAATCTGATTAGCTTCTATGATGAGGTAACTGGCTCGGTGGACATGGGGAAGTCAGTGGATGTGATATACCTTGACTTTAGCAAGGCTTTTGATACCGTCTCCCACAATATTCTTGCCAGCAAGTTAAGGGAATGTGGATTGGATAAATGGACGGTAAGATGGATAGAAAGATGGCTAGAAGGCCGGGACCAGCGGGTAGTGATCAATGGCTCGATGTCAGGATGGCGGTCGGTTTCTAGTGGAGTGCCCCAAGGTTCGGTTCTAGGACCGGTTTTGTTCAATATCTTTATTAATGACCTGGATGAGGGGATAGATTGCACCCTCAGCAAGTTTGCAGATGACACTAAGCTAGGGGGAGAGGTAGATACGCTTAAGGGCAGAGATAGGGTCCAGAGTGACTTAGACAAATTGGAGGATTGGGCCACTAGAAATCTCATGAGATTCAACAAAGACAAGTGTAGAGTCCTGCACTTGGGACGGAAGAATCCCAAGCATAGTTACAGGCTGGGGACCAACCAGTTAAGTAGTAGTTCTGCAGAAAAGGACCTGGGGGTTACAGTGGATGAGAAGCTAGATATGAGTCAACAGTGTGCCCTTGTAGCCAAGAAGGCTAATGGCATATTAGGATGCATTAAGAGGAGCATTACCAGCAGATCCAGAGATGTCATTATTCCCCTTTATTCGGCTTTGGTGAGGCCACATCTGGAGTACTGTGTCCAGTTCTGGGCCCCCCACTACAAAAAGGATGCGGACGCATTGGAGAGGGTCCAGCGGAGGGCAACCAAAATGATTAGGGGTCTGGAGCATATGACCTACGAGGAGAGGCTGAGGGACTTGGGTCTGTTTAGTCTGCAGAAGCGAAGAGTGAGGGGGGACTTGATAGCAGCCTTCAACTTCCTGAAGGGAGGTTCCAAAGAGGATGGAGAGAGGCTGTTCTCAGTAGTGACAGATGGCAGAACAAGGAGCAATGGTCTCAAGTTGTGGTGGGAGAGGTCCAGATTGGATATTAGGAAAAACTATTTTACTAGGAGGGTAGTGAAGCATTGGAATGGGTTACCTAGGGAAGTAGTGGAGTCTCCATCCCTAGAGGTGTTTAAGTCTTGGCTTGACAAAGCCCTGGCTAGGTTGATTTAGTTGGGATTGGTCCTGCCTAGAGCAGGGGGCTGGACTTGATGACCTTCTGAGGTCTCTTCCAGTTCTATGATTCTATAATTCTAGGTATTTCAAAAGATGATATATAAATCTAAGCTGTGGAATCTGTTGTTCAGCACAGATCTTTCTTACAGATAGAACAAGGAGCAATGGTCTCAAGTTGCAGTGGGGGAGGTCTAGGTTGGATATTAGAAAATATTATTTCACTAGGAGAGTGGTGAAGCACTGGAATGGGTTACCTCGGGTGGTGGTGGAATCTCCCAGTTTGGGAGAGGTTTTTAAGTTTTTAAGTCCCAGTTTGACAAAGCCCTGGCTGGGATGATTTAGCTGGAATTGGTCCTGCTTACGGAAGGGGATTGGACTCAATGAGTTCCTGAGGTCACTTCTAACCCTAAGATTCTATAATTCTATGATTAAGAAATCTTTATAGGGTGAAAGAGTGAGGGTTTTGTCTTCATTTGCCATATGGAGCTGAGATGTCACAATAATAAGCATGGTGTCAAGTATCAGAGGGGTAGCCTTGTTAGTCTGAATCTGCAAAAGCAACGAGGAGTCCTGTGGCACCTTAAAGACTGACAGATTTATTGGAGCATAAGCTTTCATGGGCAAAGACCCACTTCATCAGAAACATGTAGTGGAAATCCCAGAGGCAGGTATAAATGAGGCATAAGAAAGGAGTACCAATTAAGAGTAAGGCTAGAGATTTGGTGAAAATATATACCTCCTAGCCAGTGGCACAGCTATGAGCACCCGCATGGCCTCACAATATGCCAACATTTTTATGGCTGACCTGAAACAACGCTTCCTCAGCTCTTGTCCACTAGTGCCTCTTCTCTCCTTACGCTACATTGATGACACCTTCATCATCTGGACCCATGGGAAGGAGGCTCTGGAAGAATTCCACGGCAATGTCAACAATTTCTACCCGACCATCAACCTCAGCCTGGACCAGTCTACACAACAGATCCACTTCCTGGACACTACAGTGCAAATAATTGATGGTCTCATAAACACCATCCTATACCGAAAACCTACTGACCACTATGCCTACCTTCATGCCTCCAGCTTCCATCCTGGACACACCACACAATCCATTGTCTACAGCCAAGCACTAAGGTACAACCGCATTTGCTCCAACCCCTCAGACAGAGGCAAACACCTACAAGATCTTCACCAAGCATTCTTGAAACTACAATACCCGCCCAAGTGAGGAAACAGATTAACAGAGCCAGACGTATACCCAGAAGCCTCCTACTACAAGACAAGCCCAACAAAGAAACCAACAGAACGCCACTGGCCATCACCTACAGTCCTCAGCTAAAACCTCTCCTATGCATCATCAATCATCTACTACCCAGCCTGGAAAACAATCCCTCACTTTCACAAGCCTTGGGAGGCAGGCCAGTACTTGCCCACAGACAACCCACCAACCTGAAGTAAATTCTCACCAGCAACTATACACCACACCACAGTAACTCTAATTCAGGACCCAATCCCTGCAACAATCCTCAGTGCCAACTCTGTCCACATATTTACACCAGCGACACCATTACAGGACCTAACCAGATCAGCCACACCATCATGGGTTCATTCACCTGCACATCTACCAATGTAATATACGCCATCATGTGCCAGAAATGCCTCTCTGCTATATACATCAGCCAAACTGGACATTCCCTATGTAAAATAATAAATGGACACAAATCAGATATTAGGAATAGCCAGCATGGATTTATCAAAAACAAATCAAGGCAAACCAACCTAACTTCCTTCTTGACAGGGTTGTTGGCCTAGTGAGTAGTGGGAAAGCCATAGGCATGACGTATCTTGATTTTAGGAAGGCTTTTGACACAGTCCCACCAGACAATCTGATAAGCAAACTAGGGAATGTGGTCTAGATGTGTGTTGGTCTATAACTTGTTCGTAAAAGGCTGTATACAAAAACCTGTTGGAGAACACTTCAATCTCCCTGGACACACAGTAGCAGATTTAAAGGTAGCCATCCTGCAACAAAAAAACTTCAAGAACAGACTTCAAAGAGAAACTGCTGAGCTACAGTTCATCTGCAAATTTGATACCATCATTTTAGGATTAAACAAAGACTGTGAAAGGCTAGCCACCTACAAAAGCAGTTTCTCCTCTCTTGGTTTTCAAACCTCCACATCAGCTGCTAGAAGTGGGCCTCATCCTCCCTGACTGAATTGACCTCGTTATCTCTAGCCATACTCTTAATTGGTACTCTTTTCTTATGCCTGTATATTTATACCTGCCTCTGGAATTTCCACTACATGCATCTGACGAAGTGGGTCTTTGTCCATGAAAGCTTATGCTCCAATAAATCTGTTGGTCTATAAGGTGCCACAGGACTTCTCGTCAGTAATAAACATGGAATTTTATATATAAAATCACTGCTAAGGCTATGTTTTAGTCATAGTTATTTCTAGCAAACATCATAAACAGGTCATGGAGAGTAAACAAAAACTCACAGCCTGTGACCTGTCCATTACTTTTACCATAAACCCCTGACTAAATGGGGGAGGGAGATCTCAGGGTGCTCATCGGGGGAGTGGCCAATGTGGGAGAGTGCATCAGTTGTTAGGAAGACTGACCTAGGGATGCCACTGGTGCTCCTGAGGGGGACAGTCTAAGAGGCACCACCAGTATGACGTACGACCCCCCTACTAGTGCTGCTGGGGGGAACAATTGACGCGACTGGCAAGGCTCCTCACAGCTTTGCAGAAGTGGCAACATGTCCCTCCCTCAGCTTCCAGCTCCATATGCTGCCTCTACACCAAGTGCCAGCTCCATAGCTCCCATTAGATTGGCTTAGAACCTATTGGAAAAGGCAGTGCACAAAGCTAGGAGCTGAAAAGGGACATTTTGCTGCTTCTGGGGAGTCCCCTAAGGCAAATGCCATGAAGAATCCTCACCCCCTCTCCCAACCTCCTGCCCTGAGTCCCCTCCCACACTCAAACTCCTGCAGAGGGATGCAGTGTCTCAACTCTGCCCCAAGCAGCTGCCTGAGCTACTCAGCTGGCCATTGCAGAAGTCACAGAAAACCTGGAAATTCATGGAATCTGTGACTTCTGTGACCTCCATGACAAATTCACAAGCTTATTCACGGCATATATAATATATGTGCGCATGTGCGTGTGTGTTTGTGTAATTGCACAACACATGATTAATTAATTACTTACTGCTGTATTGTTGGGGCAAAACTTTAACTCTAGAAGTTGTATCAACTGCTGATTTACATGATTCAAAGTAGTAAACACACTGTTGAACAGATGCAGTAATCTGAAAAATGCACAATACAATAAAACTTTCAATACTTCACAATAAACTAATTCTCCTTTGGATCCAATCACTGCCTCTTAACACCAAAGCCTCAATTTTTATATAACTGCGTATAGTTTATAATGAATCAGCCACTCTCCAAAAGGAGGGAAAATCTTCCAAAAATAATACAAGTGTCACTGAAAAGTCCATAAATATTTATAGAAAGAAACCTTGTATCTACAAGTATCAAAATAATTGTTTTGAGAAAAAGGCACCGTATAGGTATTTATGAAAGGTAAAGGAAGTACAGTACAGTAGACTTCCGATAATCCGGCACCTTTTGGACCTAGGTGGTGCCGGATTATCAGATTTGCCGGAGAATCGGAATGTCTGGTACAGCTGCACGGCTTAACAGCTGGCCAGGACACAATCTCCCTCCCTCTCCCCTTCCCTTTCCTCTTCATGTCTCCTTCATGCTGTAACCTGTTCCTCCTCCCTCTCCCCTTCCCTTTCCCCTTCACTGAAGCAAAACGCTCTTCTCCATACTGTAATATGATCCCACTCCCCCCCCCCAACTTGATGCTCTCTCTGGTTACAGCCAGCACGTGTTCTGGTTACAGCCAGCACGTGTGCAGAGCGGCAGGCTTTTTAATCAGCTGGTCAAGAGCGCTTGGCATTTTGACGCCGGAGTATCGGGAGTGCTGAACAGTTGGATGCTGGACTATCGGAGTTTCACTGTTGTAGAGGCAAGAAAAAGGAATAAGGGAATTTGTGTGCAGCCATCTTGGTCTTGTTAACAAGAGAGGAAGAGTCAGGCTAAGTCTGTGGCCTGACAACGCGAGATCTGTAATTAGACGCTGCCTTTGCCTCTCGCCTCCATACGGAGATAAGGATAGAATGCTGACTCTGGCAGGGACCTTGAGATAAGGAGCATCTGGGTGGAACTAAAATAACTGTTAGTCTCTTTCCCATTACAATCACCAATGGCTAATTGTTATTGTTATTATATTTTATCGACAGTATAAAAACTGCTTCATAATTGCTTGTATTCGAAGATCTTCCTTGGAGGGGGGGGCTTCCCCCCATCCAAACCAGTTTTTCCCTTGCTGCAGCTTGTAATAAAACTGCCTCTGGCTACTTGTTGCTTACAAACTCAGAGTGAGGACAATGTTTTCTTCCACACTGTATATAGTGTTCTATAGGAACATTGATATGGGAATTGCGTGGTGGAAATTATTTTGGGGTGTTAAGAAATTCAGCAGGCCAATCTAAATGACAGCATTGTCCAGTTATACCAGAAGAACAGAAGACACTGGGTATGGTTTAATCAGTACACAACTTTATTATTAGATGTTTGAGATTACCTGGCAGATAAAACTATATAGTTCAGGTAACTCCATAAACATTTCAATATCTACCTGGGAGCTTCTAC